GGTACCAACACTGTACCTATGATTATGATGAAGAAAGTAACTAAAGACGATTCACTTCACCTGCGAACTGTCCTTGACACCCGTCAATGTAACAAGAACACCAGGAAGCTCGCGTCTCCCCTCCCCAACATAGAGACTATCTTAAGAAACATATCAACTCACCCTTACCGTTCTTTGCTTGACAGCAAAGACACCTACGAACAGATTCGTATTGTCCCAGAGGATGTCCCGAAGTCGCTGTTTGCCACCCCTGACGGGACAATGATAAGTTATGTGATGCAAATAGGAGATTGCAACACTGGGGCCACTTACCAGTCTCTAATGAATCACATCTTTGGACTGTTTATCGGTGTCTTCATGGACATTTATCTCGACGACATTGTAGTATACTCTGATACGGCTGAGGACCATGTGCAGCACATAAAGACTGTGATCGACACCCTGAGAAAAAACAAGTTTTACCTTAATGAACACAAACTACAGTTTTTTATGCCCCAGCTATCAATCCTCGGACATGTTATTGACGACGCTGGCATCAGGTTAGATCCTCACAAAGTCGATAAAATCGTCAATTGGAAAACCCCCACCTCCAAGGAACTCCTGATGCAATTCATCGGGTCCGTTGGCTACCTTGCCGCAGGATGCAAGGGCGTAAGAGTGGACATGCAGCATCTATCCAAAGTCGCCTCCAGGACCACTTGGTGGTCATGGACCCCGACTGACCAGCATGCCTTCGATCTAGTCAAAGTGTGCGTACAGGCCCATCGAGATGTGCGACAATGGGCTCTTAGAATACCATCTGCACAGGACGGTACCTGTCCCATCAACTTGAACACTGACGCATCATTCACCAGGGCCAGCGGCGTACTTTCTCAAGGCCTTGACATGAAAGGTGTGGACGTGATTGCATTCTGGTCGGGCAAGTTTGATGCTGCCCAACAAAACTACCCTGTTCACGAACAGGAACTGTTAGCAATTGTCGAGTCTCTGAAATGCTTCCAACACTTACTGATCGGATTTAGATTCCGTATATTTACGGACCACAAGGGCCTCGAGTGGCTTGGGTCTCAAAAGAAACTATCGCCCCACCAAGCATGATGGCTGGAACTCATTAGTGAATTCGACTTTGAGATAATCCACATACCAGGAGTTGACAATACCTTAGCAGATGCACTGTCCCAGATCTACAGTGATGAGCCTGCTGGAATGGTCAGAGCCGCCAGCGAATATGTTAGCATCAATGAGGAAGACGTACTGCATTCATTACTACTGAACTTCGTGACAGTGCCAATTTATACAGGCACCCCACTGTTCCTAGGGGCAACTGAAGTGCATCGATCCACCTGCATAGCAATTGGACGCGAGACGCGCGCGCGAACCAATAAACCAAGCGACCGCAAGTACCTGCGAATCCTCACTGAAAATGTTAGCCCCATCTATCGCAGACCTCCCTGAGCCCCTGGTGAGACCGTCGACTCAACCAGCGAAGATGAAGCACCCAACCATGAACCTGAAACCCACATAGTCCCTGAAAATGGACTCATAAGCGCACCACCAGAAATGGAAGCATCCGCACCAGCTCCAAAAACCTCAGACTCACCACAAGCCGCTGCGCCACAGATACCATCTTGGCGTAGAGTGATTCTGCAATCAAGTGAAAACTCAGCTAAATCCCTGGAGGGTGAGAGCACAGCTACTGAGACAAACTCACCAATACCATCAGTGACGATAGGAACGCACTCAGACAACCCAGGAAGGGAGGAAGCAAGAATAATCAGCGCTGACAGAGCAAGTACAAACAGAGCAAGTACAAACATGGACCCACAATTGGGTCATGACACGTCAACACGAATAGCAGAAGACCTGCTGTCAGAAAATCCTCCCTCACTCACCAAATTGATCTCCCTTGGCAACCCAACGGTTGACATCCACGAAAGCCTTGTCAACCGATATGACGAGGACAAGTTCTTCGCCAAAATCATTGCCAGCCCAAACTCCTATAAGAACTTCGAGGTCAGCAATGGCAGAATATTCCTGAAGGACAAAGGAAGCAGAGTACTTTGCGTCCCTGACATCTTAGCCGGTAAACGATGCATTCGAGAGATTATCATCTCGCATGCTCATTCCCTACTCACTCACCTAGGCCCATCTAAGACGCTGATCTACCTTAGAGATAATGTCTGGTGGAAAGAAATGACGGCAGACGTACAGGCTTTCTGTGACTTATGCAGCACTTGCCAAGTCTCCAAACCCTCTAACCACCAACCCTATGGATTACTAGAGACCTTTGAAGTACCCTCACGCCCCTGGGAGACGGTAGGAATCGACTTCATGGGACCACTGCCCAAATTGCGCACCCTAAACGGTTCGTTCGATATGATCTTGGTTGCAATAGATCACTTGACCTCAATGGTCCATCTAGCCCCCACCAAGCAGACCTACCGTGCCAAAGACATTGCTGAAGTTATGTTTAACTTAGTCTACAAGTTACATGGGATGCCCTCTAACTTTGTTAGCGACCGCAATACCCTCTTTATGAGTACATTCTGGAAATGACTATATCAATTAACGGGTGTTGAACTAAGGATGTCAACCTCATTTCACCCACAGTCAGATGGTGTGACCGAACGAGCAAACTGAACCATGACCCAGATGCTGCAACAAGTGGTCTCTGTTGATCAGCGTGACTGGGCGATCAAGCTCCCAGTCATCGAGTTTGCAATAAACTCAGCTAGTTCAGTCTCACGAAAGTACTCTCCGTTCATACTAATATATGGGCGACAGCCCCCGTCAATGATCTGGAACGCTCAATCTGAGTACCCTGGCATCTGTATATTTGCTCAACGAATGAAGGACGCATTGATGAGTGCCCATGACGCCCTCATCGCAGCCCATGTCAAGAACACTACAGTCACTAATCGCAAATGCAAAGAGTCACCCTTCATAAAGGGTGATCTCATCTACCTGTCCACCAAAAACCTGTCATTACCAAAGGGCAGAGCCCGCAAGCTCACACCAAAGTTTATCGGCCTGTTCAAAATCCTTGAGGACTACCTGCAACAATTCTTACCTGCTAGACCTCCCCACGAACCTCAAGCAACGAGGGCTTCACCCCACGTTCCACGCTCATCTACTGAGGATACATATACCTAACGATGATCGACGGTTCCCCGGGAGACAACTCAACCAAATTGCTGACTTGGGAAGCCTCGAGGAATGGTCTGTTGCCCGAGTTACCGATCACAACGGTCAAGGAACCGACTCGCTGTTTGAAGTTGAATATACGACTGGGGATAAAGTCTGGCTCCCATACTATGAAGTTTTGCGACTGGAAGCCATTGGGCAATATCTTGAAGCATTAGGTGTACCCAATATAACGCACTTACCTCGAAAGATCTCTAAGGCAACCCCAGACACTAGTGTCGCCTCCGTCACTACCGTCAATACAGCCGAGGACGCTAGACATTGCCTCGAGCAAATTATCGCCCAAATGCTCTCTGATTTGCTGGTTAAGATGTCCCCCAAAGACCCCAAGCCTAAACATATAAGGGAGACACCCACTCACGTAGACGAGCACTCTGAACCTCCCATGTCTCAAGCAGTCCCTACCCACTCTCTCCCTGAGCCAATGAACGTCGACATTGTCACTCATCCTCCCTCGCACGAACCAGGTGAGATCCCAGGCTCAGACCCACGCACCCCTCATCCCAGATCCTCTCATTCGAGCAGGAGGAGTAACTGCTCAAGAGGGCGAGGTGGAAGAGGATACAGGCCCTCCCACAGAGAGCCTAACGCTGAAGCGCTCAACGCCTTCACCCAGTTCTTCAGAACTGAGGCAAAAGCTAGTAAGAAATTTACAACCCCTCCCCAAGTCCGCAGTCTAAAGACTAGCACTCTCTTAGAGGAACTAGCAATCAAAAAGGAGACTCACGCATTTGAGCAACAACTTCAAGCTGAGCATGAACGCTCCTATGCTTCCTGACCCTGGGTAATGCCTAGTAGTAACCTCTCCATCGACAATTGTCGCCAGAACCGCGACCTTCAATACAAACGGTCCCACCCTTCCTCCTCGAGCTCTGCGCTCCACGTGAACTCACCAGCTCCCTTAACGGCTGCTCAAGTCATCTCTGCCGCGACCACCCAAGCCAAGAGCCTGAAAAGCACACCTACTACCGCCTCCTCTACCTCTCATGAAGTGGATCCTGGCGCTGATGTTGATGACATTGTCGCAGCTGCCGAGTTATTGGACCTAGAGCGCGACGCCCGGATCAAGAGCCTATCTAATGCTCAATTCTTGGGTAGAGTTACCATCCTCAGCCTCACCTTGTCCAATATACTCATTCTTCTCGTCCTATTAGCCGCGTTTGGTTCTGTCATGACCAATGCCTCCCTAACCCAATAGGAACTCCTAAACTCCCGCATGACATTGCAGCTCCTCCTACTGGATGAGCTGGAGGGCATATGTGACGTTCGTTAAAAGGCTTAGGCTCCCAACACCTAAATGGTTACCGATTAATATATAGATCAACTCTGATATATTCTCCCCCTTTTTGTTACCCTGTTTATTCCCTGTTATTCCTCTTATTCCTACTTTCCCAGATCCTCTCTAACCTATACAAACTAGCATACTTAGTGTAGGATCAGGAGTTGATCCTTTCCCCCCAAAATAAAGCTTAGTTCGGCCAGTTTACTACTGTTCGAACCCTAAGTCCTCTCTCAAGTCAACTCAATTCTTGTGTGTACGTTCCTAGAACGTCACAGACCTTGACTACCATCAGTGAACCCGTGAGGAAAGTAGAAGGCCATAAATTACAATATATAGTACATAATCACAAGAACTAGCGTAATTCTGCTATAGACAATCACATTGTTATGTTTGGATTTATAGAGGAAAGACGCTTCCCTGATTTTCCTATAAAATTTTATGATCGAGAGAAGCACCTGATTTTACTCAAACTCCAAAGCATCAAATAATTGACCCAAAAATATAAAGGTTTACAATGCTTTGTCTAACCGTCAAATTTATATGGTATATGTCAGAATGATACTACTCGGAGTAAGTTAGACAGAACTACCAAAAGCACCAGCATGACAGATTCCCCGCAACTACCTGCCATTTTATCACCAGCACCAAATAATTCTCAACCTCAAACACACATTTTGTGAAGAAAATCAAATTTATTTATATTCAAATACATATGTAGTTACAGGACAAAAAAAAGAAACAGGGAATGATAGTGAAGAGGGAATATCACAACATGAATGACAGAGCAGCCACAAGAGAGGGACTAAGGCCAGCAAGGAACCACGAGAAACAGCCAATGAGGAACCACAAGAAAAGGCCAGCAAGGAACCACGAAGAAAGGCCAGGGAAAGACCACCACGAACGGCCAGGAAGGAACCATGAGGAAAGGCCAGAGAGGGACCACCATGAACGGCCAGGGAGGAACCACAAGGAAGAACCAGGGAGGGACCACCATGAACAGGAGGAACTTGAGAGGTGGTGGTAGTAGCAGTGAAACAAGATTGAAAGGAACTTAGCATGAAAATTTCCGTCCTGCACAAACAATGACAAACCAATTTCAACCACTTGCGCTGGTCACATGATTTGAGGTTATCCGATAATACGTATTATCTACAGTAAAATTTGAGGCTGAGGTGATGGTCACGTGCATGATCTTGGATGACATTGTAATTCACGCAATATTTGAATCGACTTATATAGATTTGTAAGTCAAATATAAATGAGGGAATATGATGTTGCTCGACAAACGGTACCTAATTACACAAATTCATGACCTTGTCGGAAATTCTCATAAGAATCTACATTAGGTTACAAGTGCTAATGGTCCTTTCCATGATAAGTCTTATATCACTTGGTAGTTTAAAATATAAATGAAGGGATATGGTATGAGTCAACAAGTATGACTTAACGATGCTATTGCACATTGATCGCTGCGACGGTGCAATGTTATTATCTTGTCGCAAACTCCTCATGGTAAAATGAATTTTCAGACATCTATGGCTATGTACTGATCACTAATATTTCTTGCCATATACATAGGTATATTCAGCAGTAGCAAAATTATTTCACACTATATTTCTCACAGCTACCATATCACGGACTCATCAATTCACTGATGACTGGTGGTACGTGCAGGTGGTGTTTGTGTAGCATGCCAAAGACGAAATTTTGAACCCAACTGAGAGGGCTAGATCGAGATTGTGTCACACATTCAGTTGCTCCCCATGATATCGATAACTGTCAACAAATTGTTCACAAGGGACTGCTCAATTATAGATGAAATCACATGCAATAGCGGGATGTGAAGTTACCTAGGTCAACCACCCCCCGACACATCACATGACTTTGCCACATGTACAAACAAACACTTCGCGAGATGTTCAAGCTTGCTCATCAGTAAAACACACAGTTCCTTACCTTACTTATATTTAACTTTTCTTGTGCAACAAGTAGAAATAAGCCTGAATAAGCAAGGGTAAAAATAAGTAGATGGCCAGTTGAAAAAGGCCATTCATCATCTGAATTCTCACTTATTTCTGACTTAGTTTACTTTTCGCATCACAAAAAAAGTAAAAAAGGGCATTGTCCATTCAGAAAAGCACAACATGAAAGCAATCAAGGGGACCACTAAGGAAAGACAAAACCGAGAAAATCAACAGTAAGCTATGCATGGAGTAGTAGAAAATGGTACAAGAGATGCATAATGAGTGGTGATAGTAGTAGTCTGAGCAAGTTGAAGATGGCGGCGAAGGGCTATATGGAGAACTAGGGATCGGCACTGGTAAACCCCCAGGTACCAGAGCCCACACCTGGCAAACCCCAGGTAACACATACAAGTGATATACAATTAGAAATAAAAACATCCACTGGATTCTAGATTAAAAAACGCACCTGTACCAATGCAAGTAAACACAAGCGGCAGCCAAGTGAAAACACGTGGAGACAGATGCAGACATGCAGAAATGAGTGGCGCCAAGCGCATACACAGCAAAATGGGCAGTGATATGTGCAAACAACAAGCAGGGACAACCAGAAATGAGTGGCAGTGGGCGACACAAGCAGGCACCAAGCGAAAACGCGCGAGGGCAGGTGCAGAAAAGTGCAGACATGCAGAAATGAGTGGCGCCAAGCGCATACAAGCAAAAATGGGCAGTGGTATGCGCAAACAGGCAGGGACAACCAAAAATGAGTGGCAGTGGGTGCAAACGAGTGGGGATAAGTGCTCATACACTAGACCAGGTGCAAACATGCAGGAGACATACTTGTCAGTGCCATGCAACATTTGGCATCGTGAATGCGTGTCCTGCACAAGGCCGTCGAGGTATTTTGCCAATGGTCGAGTTGGAGACTCAAGTAGTCTATAGAGTTGAGTTGAGTAAATTATAATAAATAAAAAAAAGACTTACAAGATCAGTGTGCAGGTAATAGCAGCTGCAGCAGGACCCAGGTGGAAGTTAGAGTTGAAGTTGTAAGTTGTGTACACAAAAATGAGACGTCACATGACACTCACGTGACGTGTCGGGTGGAGGTTGAGCTGGGACAGCTTGGGATGTGCTGCATGGTCAAAAACCCTGGGGTTAGCCGACGAGCACCTTCGATCTGCAGGCTCGGCGTCGTGTAGCATCAACCTAGGATGTAGGTACTCCTCAAGGTCATGCAAAAGGTCAAGAAAAACATGACACACATCTGTGTTGAATGGCTTCTGGACAGTATTCTGGGATGGACGAAGATGCGAAAGGCTGTTGAGGAGACCTTTGTATTGATGCGTAGTCTGAGAGAAGATGAGAGGGAGAGAAAGTAATATTCATCAGCTAAGATGTGTGAGATGCGCAAGATGTTATCGAGAGAGATGCAACTGAAGAGAAAGACATATATAGTGAGTAGTGAATTTTACTTTCAGAGATGAGATGAGACAGAGTACTTACTAGTGTGTTGAGATCTCAGATAAACAAATGAAAGGGAGGTCCAAAAGAAGCAGCTTGTGCTCGAAGGGATTTGGGATCGACAAAGACAAACCTTCGGAGCATGTTGAGTCCGAAAAGTGTTATGGTTCTCTTTGTCCCTATCTTTGCTTACTAAACCTTCTATGGACTTCCATCACATTCTATTGTACGATGTCCTTTCTCTTTTTCTCATTGGCTTATTATATTCCAACTCCACTTTAACTATTCAGACTCCATTTCAATCCTCTTATTTAAACCTCATCTTTACCACTTGTATTCTTTAACTTGACCTATGCAGACCAGGGCCTGCAATCTACTGCTTTACTTGCACAACTAGACACTAGGGTGTCTCTATAACTTTTGACTCTTGTTTCTGCTAAAGACGTCTAATCGATGCTGAGTGTAACAAAAGGTCAAGTTTCTTTCAGAACCGCTGTTCCCCAAATTGGCGACCCACCAGAACCAGAATGATCTCTAGTTTGAAATTCACACTAGACACAATGACCTGCCTCTCATCTTAGTAGGCGCCTCATCAGACACCACAGACCCCACCAGAAACTATCTGGGTTTTACCTGGGACGAAGAAAGACAGATTTACGTCAAACCTGTCCAAGATGGTAGACTCGCTACCATTGAAGAGTGGAGAACCTTCATCGAACACCAAGACCATTGTGTTGCCAGATACCACTACGACTTCACTTCTGAGACCTACGTACCCAATGACATCCCTTTATCCCCTCCAGGAGGCATACACACCCCATTACCTCCTGTCCAACCTCCTACCCCAGAACAGAACGACATCGATCTAGGTTCAGATGACAAAGACTCAGATAATGATGAAGACGATGAAGACAACATGCCTAAAATCATTGGCAACACCCCTCCCCCCTTCACTGGTGACACCCGCATCGCCCATGGATGGCTCCTCCAAGTCGGAGCGTACCTAGACATAAACAGTGGAGTATACAACACTGACAAATAGAAGATCATCTTTATACTATCATTGATGACTAAAGGAGAAGCCGCTAAATGGGCGGAAGGAATTTTCAAACAAGCAGTCACTGTGAACAACACTTATGGAGAATACATTGATTTCATCACTCAGCTCAGAAACACGTTCTTCCCAAAGAATGTCAATGAATCAGCTCTCCGCAGACTTTCCACACTCAAACAGACAGGCAGCATCTCTGCCTACGCCTCCATCTTCCGCACCATCATCGCCGACACTGACATTGATCAAGAGTTGATCAAAATCATGTTCTTCAAGAACGGTCTGAAACGCGAAATCATTAACGCCATCATGGCATTCCAGACCCTCCCCACCATGATAGAAGATTGGCTTACCAACACCTTAGAAGTGGAATCTCGCCACTTCGTAACCAACCCCTCTAACCACTGCTCTCACGACCACAACTCCATGGACATTGACCGTACTGAGATAGAAGGAGAAGATGAAGAAAGGCAGGTGAAGAAGACTTACCTTTCCCCTCAAGAGCGGGAATGCAGGCGCAAGAACAGGCCTCTGCTTCAAGTGCGGCAAGAAAGGTCTTATTAAAGATTGCCCAAACCACCCCTGCCTTTACACCAAGGCCGCCGCAGACTGCCGCCAAGAAAGCGAGTAAGGACGAAGAAGACGACTATAAGGAGTTCTCAGAGTGGAAGGCGTTTAAAGCACGCCAGGCAAAGAAGACTGAGGATAAGGATTTTGCTTAGAGGAGACTGGACCAGTGTCAGTATCTCCTAGAATCGGACTAGTAGTACAATCGATTGGTGACTCAAATTCTATGCAGTTTGCCATTAACTTTTGACTCTAGCCCCGCCATCGCCGAAGCCGCAGCTCTAATAGACTGTGGAGCAGAGGGGGAATTTATCGACTGGATGTTTGTCCGTCAAAATTCCATCCCTACTGAACGACTCCCAAGACCAATCAAAGTCCAAAACATAGATGGAACACTCAATAAGCAAGGTCAGATCACACACGCTTGAAATATGTCCTTTTATATTAGAGGAATTCCCATGAAAACATGTTTCCTTATCACCTCTCTAGGAGGTGAAGATGTTATTCTGGGAATATCCTGGCTAAAGAAAGAAAACCCACAGATCAACTGGACAAAAGAAGAAGTGACCTTACAAGAGCGAAGCGCTTACATAGAAGACGTCGAAGAAGAAAATCCCTTCTTCGACGCACAGGAGTCCCTAGAAGATGAATGGGACCCTGCCGCAGAAAGTATTCCGTATTCCTCCAAAATCCCCAAACTCCTTGACCCTGAACCCACTGACGAAGCAGAAGAAGAATTAGATCCTGATGAATTCTTGATCGCCTACTGCAAAGGTGATCACATCATAGGGACTTACGAAACTTTTGAATCCCCTCTAACTGATGAACATATCCCCGCCAACCACAAATACTTCTTGATCCATGGAACCTTAGTCAGGAAAGCCGACAAGAAATATAAGGACGTATTTGGAGAAGTAGCTAACGGAACTCCCCCATCAGAACGCAAGTTTGATCATAAGATCAATCTCAAGGACACCTTCGAACCGCGTAAATGCAAAATTTACCCACTTAACCCCACAGAAGAGAAGGCCATGAACGACTTTATTGACGAAAATCTTGCTAAAGGCACCATTATCCCCTCCGAATCACCACAATCATCTCCATTCTTCTTCGTCAGCAAGAAAGATGGTTCACTACGCCCCTGCCAAGACTATTGTTACCTCAATGAACACACGGTTAAGAACAATTATCCACTTCCGCTAATCTCAGATCTTATAGATAAGCTAAAGAACGCGAAGATCTTTACCAAGATGGACATCCAATGGGGATACAACAATGTCTGACTCAAGAAGACCAATCAATGGAAAGCCGCATTCGCCACGGCAAGAGGACTCTTTGAACCCATGGTAATGTTCTTTGGCATGTGTAATTTGCCCACTACCTTCCAATCTATGATGAACTGATATGTTCAGAGATATGATCCAAGAAGGATGGCTTATAATATACATGGACAATATACTGATCTTCTCTGACGATTACGATACCCATCAGAAACGAACCCACCATGTCCTGGAAAGACTCCACGAACACCGCCTATATCTCAAACTGGAGAAATGCATGTTCAACATAGAAGAAATCAAATATCTCAGGCATGATCATCAAACCAGGATCGGTAGCTATGGACCCGGCTAAACTGAAGGGAATCTCCGAGTGGGAAACCCCGAAGAAAGTCAAAGAAGTCCGATCTTTCCTCGGATTTGCCAATTTCTATCGCCGCTTTATTGCTGACTATTCCACAATCGCCCGTCCTTTGATAGATCTCATGAAGAAAGATATGCCATTTGAATGGAACAAAGAACGCGACTCCGTGTTTCGAAGATTGAAATCAATCTTTACGTCAGCTCCTATCCTCCAGATCCCTGACCACCTTTCCCCCTTTGCCATCGCCACTGACGCCTCCTTATACGCTACCGGCGCAGTCCTCCTCCAAAAAGATCCCAACGGCGAATGGCTCCCCTGCTCATATCTTTCTCAATCCTTTGCTCCCACTGAACGTAACTACCAGATCTATGACCGAAAACTCCTTGCTGTTATTCGTGCGCTCAAAGCTTGGCGCCATTACCTCCTGGGCTCTCCTTTCCCAGTCGAAGTCCAAACTGACCATAAAAACCTCACCTACTTCTGTGACGTCCAAGATCTCAATAGACGCCAAGCACGGTGGCAAACCTTCCTATCCCAGTTTGATATCCATTTCAAATTTGTACCAGGCAAAGACTTAACTATTCCAGACACCCTTTCCCATAGATCGGATCACCTTCCGGACGATAGTGTCAAAAAGGACAATTGTAGTATCCAACTTCTTCCTGATTATATGTTCATCAATTCCGTTTCTCTTTCTGAACAATTATTTATCTCTTCTTCCATTGACCCAGTAGTACAAACAGTGCTCGACGTGCTCCAGAATCCTTCCATCCCTCCTCCTCTTCGCTCTGCTTTATCTGACTGGAAACTATCTGACGGCATTCTTACTTATAAAGGACTCACCTATGTACCCCCAGGCGACCTACAGTCACAGTATCACTTCCCTTCATCATGACTCCCCCACCTGCCAGCCATCCAGGATGCTATAAAACCCAGGAACTTCTCTCACAAGATTACTGGTGGCCAGGGCCTCTCCACGTTCATAAAGAACTTCGTCGACGGCTGTAGCATCTGCCAACAGAATAAAGTAAACACGCACCCATTGTCTCCCCCTTTATGCCCTATTCCTGCTCCTATATCTAATTGCCCTTTTCGCTCACTGTTCCACTGATCTCATCACCGACCTCCCACCTTCCAATGGCTACGATAGCATCATGGTCATGGTAGACCATGGCCTTTCAAAGGGGGTAATTCTCACTCCATGTAACAAAACAATAGATGCTGAAGGCGTAGCAAATGTTTTCTTTTCCAAAGTATTCTCTAGATATGGACTTTACAATAAGATTATCTCTGACTGCAGACCCCAATTTGCCTCTAGATTCCAGATCAAACTCAGAAAACTCATCGGATATAATAACTCCCTTTCCACTGCATTCCACCCCCAGAGTGATGGAGAGACCGAACGAGTTAACCAAGAACTCGAAGTCTACCTCCAGATCTTCTGCGCTAACGATGCGACTGGCTGGGCTTCAATGCTCCCTCTCACAGAGTTCATTCACAACTCCCGTCATCATTCCGCTCGTGGCACATTGTTGTTCTACCTTATGATGGGTTATCACCCTAAACACCTCCCCGATCTCCACCCTAAGAGCGACATCCCTAACGTCGAACAACGTCTCATTATCCTTAACAAGGCACGTGACAAAGCCTTAGCCACTCATGAATTAGCGCGCAATACCATGAGATAACAAATCACATCCAAGTTTGTACTGTTCAACAAAGGTGACAAGGTTTGGCTCAAATCTAAGAACCTTCACCTCAGATATCCTAATCGCAAACTTGCACCTAAACAAGAAGGACCATTCACTATCACCGATGTTCTATCCCCAGTTACCTACCGACTCTCTCTCCCCGCGCAATGGTGTATTCACCCTGTATTCCACACCACACTTTTATCACCATTCAAAGAGAACGACACTCATGGTCCTAACTTCGTCGCACCACCACCAGACCTTGTAGATGGCGAAGAGGAACAAGAGATAGAGGCCATCGTCGGCCATAGAGGTTCATCCTCACGCAGATATTACAACGTTAAGTGGAAGGGGTTCCCGAGTTCCAAGAACAAATGGATGACAGAAAGGCAGATGGGTAATGCTTCTGATATTCTCCTTTCTTATAACAATGCATATCGTCTTTGATTTCTCTTTTCTTTTGTAGTATTCATGGACTACTACCCTTAAAACAGGGGTAATGTTACGGTTCTCTTTTTCCCTATCTTTGCTTACTAAACCTTCTATGGACTTCCATCACATTCTATCATATGATGTCCTTTCTCTTTTTCTCATTGGCTTATTATATTCCAACTCCACTTTAACTATTCAGACTCCATTTCAATCCTCTTATTTAAACCTCATCTTTACCACTTGTATTCTTTAACTTGACCTATGCAGACCAGGGCCTGCAATCTACTGCTTTACTTGCACAACTAGACACTAGGGTGTCTCTATAACTTTTGACTCTTGTTTCTGCTAAAGACGTCTAATCGACGCTGAGTGTAACAAAAAGTGCGGAGACCAAAGGGTCCGAAAGGAAACACTAATCCAGACCAAAACACACTAGAAGTAGCAGATAGGGAGGTGGGTGCAACGGGAGAGCTACAGGCAAAAGGAGATGAGCACAGAGAAGAAGAAGGAAATGTGGCGCTGATTCTCAAGTCGAGACTGGGGTGACTCGGACGTGTGCTTCAATAGAATAGACACACACATATGGCGAATCTTCATGTGACTGCCTACAAAGGCCATGTTTCATGCATCAACGCTCACGATTCGCTTGAAACGGCCACCTGATGAAACATACCACCTGACAGGATTATAACGGACACAAGCGGACTAAAAGTTTTCATTTCCCACTTTCAATTTCAACTTTAGTTTTCGGCTTTCGACTTCCAATATGGATTTCGCACCACAGATGTGGATTCAACTTGGCCAGTGGACAGGTTGCTTCCATTCGCATTAACGTAGCTCTAGGTGAAAGATTGAAAGCTTGCTGCGGTGCCTTGTACATAGTTAGGGGTAAGTGGTAGTGGTTATTTATGTACTGTTTGCACCAACAAGCTGATATTTGGTTGTGTTGAGGTGTTAGTCCGCCATTAACTTGTGTGTCTAGGTCCCTGGGCATCAAAGTGACTGCTGTGTGTCCTCGGAGCTCTGCCCACCTTGTTGTGCAACTCCCTTTGGTGTGCCAGGGGGCGAAAAACATAAAAGGCAGAGCTGGTTTACCTCAGTTAGTACCACTGGGATCCTGCTCATTCCAGACTGCCGGTATGAGCGCCATGTGTGGCTCCCCTCAGTGGGATCTCATTGAATCGGTAAGTCTCAATCTAGTATTGGCTCCTTTACCTCCCCTTGAGACAGGTATGGCCCTTTTTGCCCCAAGCTGAATGGTGGAGTATCACGCTCTCGTTCCCTCATCTATCACCGATTTTTTTAGTTATATTTACTCATCACACTAACGCACTTGACCCAGGCCAAATTGTAACATGCATGCAGCCAAAGTTCTCTCTTCTGGCGTCTCACACTCATCAACAACCTCTCCATATCACCGACTCTCATTGTCCTAGTCTCCGCAGGCGGCTCAGACACAAGCATGATCAACAGCTACGGCGGACTCGTACTCGGCATCACAGCCCTCGACAGGCTTCTCCTCGGTTCCAAATTCTTCATTATGGAAATCAGTGCCATGCACTGGGTCACTTGTCTCCGTGACACCGCTTTCAGCTGTGTTCTCAGCCAGGACAAGAGCTGGTTTGACCATCCTGAGAATGGTGCAGCCAAGCTTACCCAAGTCATCGTGAAAGATGGAGATGATGCGTGTACGCTGATCACTGTGGTGTCTAGATCGTTGCTGTTGGCGTGATGATGACTGTTGGACTTGTCTGGGCTATGGCTTGGGGGTGGCAGTTGATGCTTGTTGGGCTGGCTATTGGGCCTGTTTTGTTGGAGTTATGGGTCTGCAGACGGGTTTGATGGCCAAGTGCGAGGTGCACAATAAGAGGGCTCGTGAGGAGGTTGCGAGGGTGTACTACAAGGTGAGTTTCATCTTTGCTGTTGTTATGAGTAACATTCTGATTTGTTCTCTAGTCAATTCTCAATGTCCATGGTATTCGTGCTATGTCTCTTGAACCTGTTCTTCAGGCTTAATTCGACAAGGCCACTTTGCAGTGCCTTTCCACTGATGTACAAGGGCGCTCCATCTGCTGGCTGCGGACATCTGTTGTACTGGCGGCAGCATTAAGTTTCAGGAGACTAGATAACGTGTACACGGCTCGCGAACTGGGTCTTAGCAGAATTATAGCGAAAGCCTTCCTCCCACATTCCTCCCCATTTAGCAGACAAAATCAGCACAACCCCTCATCGTTGCACGTGAAGTATTTGAATGACAGATAATGGACCTAAGCTAGTAAGCATCTCTTTACCTTCATTGAGATTCTGACCAATCTTTCGTGAAGGTCCTGGGACGGTCTGACTCTTTACACTGCATCTTCGGACAGGAACGATAGCCATTTTCCATTGGATCATGCTGCCACCCTCCCCAAACCATGCCTAGTCACAATACATGTCCACACATGCTTCTATGCAATGGACGTGCTATTGAATGAGCAAACCACGCTCGTCATAGAACAGGAAGTTCTTCGGGACGCATCCATCTCTACCGACTTTGACAGGTGGATTCACTCCTGCATCGGAGGCAACACCTTTGATCACTACAACACATCTGTACGTCCAATGTCCCATTATTTTTAATTGTACACTTATTTTGCCTACAAGTGAAATCGGTCGCCATCACTCAGACTAATTATAGCTACGTAGTCAGTGTCTTTGATGGTCAGCTCTAGCTTTTTGGACACTTCATGTACTAGTGGGGTCCTTGTGTGCAGAATCACCATTGATGTACTATAACTAATAGAAGAGTGCATCGACTTCCACAAGTGAAATTGAGGTCAAAAGGGAAGTCAGAACCGAGCGTGAAATCAAAACTGTCTGCATGCGAAATCAAAACTGTCCACATGAAATTGAAACTGTTCATGCTGAAATCAAAATTGTCCACACAAAATCAAAATTGTTCATGTGAGATCAAAACCGTTCGAATTACTTGCATTTGAAAGCGGAAAATCTTTTTGAAAACCTTACTTCAATCACTGGGAATTTTGTCTGCTGGCGCCCTTCATAAAGGATGACACTGTTGTCAGTGTTATTGTTTAATAAAAGGTGATTGAAGCCAGCTTCTTTGATAATGGTAGAGACATCCACAGAGAAGTCTGCGCAATTCACATGGTTTTTATGGTAGAAGGGTTGTCCGATCTGTTGATTGGTTTCGGGATACGCTCATTCAGAGACAGTGAAATGGCCTTGACAATATCTTTGTGTCCCTCCAAAACAGCAGTTTCGGTCAAGGTGGCAGTGTCGAATTTCCTGATTTGATGGGGTCCTGTGCCAGCAATAAGGGTCTTTCCATCAGAGGTCCATGCCAAGCACCAATGAGACACCGCCCGGCGCAATCATCGTGCCATCAGGTCAATAACAAATTTAAACCATGTACACCCAGCTGCCTTTCACTGCTTCAATTGGTCCTAGAATTGTCTTTCTGCTCTCAGCATCCCATATTCTGAATGTCCCACTGTCACACCCACTCACCACTCGCCCTCCGTCTGGACTCCAGCAGACAGACCGCACTTCCCTTGTGTGCCTTTGTAAGTAGTCAAGACTGTCGTCCCTTAACCGTTACGCCAAAAGGCAGTGATAATGAAAGCTCATGTTTCATTATCTCGGACAGTATTTATACTGATTATGGGAACTCAGGTAAGCCACTGGGCTTACACTCTCCCACATTTTCAGATCTTTTTATCCCCCCACCAGTGCTGGTTCCCAATCACGTAGCACTGTGGTTTGGTGTGGGAATTTTATCCGAAACGGGAGGGCACAAACGGCCGCCCCAAGGGCGAATCTTGAAATTTGCCCCGGAGCGGGTTGGAACACCCGACCTCCTGCAAACCTTGAGCTTTCATTATCACTGCCTTTTGGCGTAACGGTTAAGGGACGACAGTCTTGACTACTTACAGCCTTGTCCATTTTTTATGACCTCGTCTGTGTCAATATCCCATAATATCACTGTACTATTGAAGCTACCTGCTTGCTGCTGTCTTGCCGTCCGGCGACAATATTAATGCTATGCCGTTAACAACTTCATTTCCTTCGTCCCTCCAGGCCTTCCCGACCTGCATCCCGTTGTCCAAGTCCCAGACTCGAATTGAGCCATCCTATGAACAAGTGATGATCTACTGTTTATCGGGCAGGCGTAGGATGTCAGAGACGAAACTGGTGTGTCCTTGCATCTTTTGGTGAGGTTTTTTCGTTGATTTCTCTTGCCTCGGAGGGGTTCATGAAGACATGTTTTCGGCTCACGGACTTCACCTAATGTACGCGGTACAATGTCAGCTCTTGCCCATCAAAAAGGACACCATCACTCACTCAGAGCTTGAGAGAAATTGCTGTTCAAGTCCTCTACAGGTTTGTCTTCATGCTGTTCACTAAGCACTTCACAGCTTGAGCGCGGGCTGTGCACATTAAGGGCCCCAAGTTTTGTTTTCTCACAACATGCACAGTTTCTACATCGACATCTTGACATCGCATCAGGTAGGCATGCTGGCGAGCAAGCTCGCATTCCTATATTTCTTCACTGACCCTTCTCGGAAAAATATCTGTGGCTTCGTCTGCCATGCCATCATCGTATGTCTTGCAAAGGATGTCTCGGCAAACTGGTCCCATATCTTTTGCTCAACACCGCTGGTACCGACAGTGTCACTGCACCCTTCACGACTAGTGGTCAAGAGGACAACCAGTTCAGACGCATGGGTGCTCATAGATGAGACGATCCAGCCCCTTCCAGGTGGTCTTTCTTCGAGTTCTGGATTACTCGGAACGTCCTTGTTATATCTGATCAATGCGAACAGTGGACAATGAACATCAATCATATTGATCGCAAGGCGAATTCGAAGGCTCTGGAAATGTCTATGCGAATGTTGACGACGCTCACATCACATTGTGGATTACATTTCCCCGTGTCTTGGATTATACGACTTTGTGGCCAAGTTTTACCTTTTGCTTGGACACAGTACTCGCAGGTGATGGAATTGGGCGCGTCGTGCAGTTCTTCACCCGATGCACAGCTAGGTCACCACCTTGGACAAATGTATTGCACACAAGACAGTCAGATTTCTTCTGTTCAGTCAGTATGGGGACGGTTTGTGATCCCGGGGTGACTGATATTGTGCAGGAGCCGCTGCCATGATACAACGGTAGATATGTACTAGACTTTCCTGTACTTGGTTCCGTCCTTCGTCTCCAGTCAGTCAAAACAGTGTATGAATCATGCGAGCACTATAATATTCCAGCAGTCCTGGAACGTTAATCTCTAAGTACTGTAATGTGATCGGAGCTGTGAGGGATATACAAATAAGATTCTATACAAACAACCTCGCACTCTATACCAGGTCTCTCGGAGTCTTCCAAGTCGCCGTCCGAGCTTTGGCTCTCTCCTTGATATCTAAGCTTTTGAGCCACATTGGCGACATTGCGCCTCCTGCCTCACTTCTTGTGCCTAATCAACTTCACTTCCATTCCTTGTTCGATACTCTCCATGACACTCTTCACACCTTTATCAACCGACTCTCGCCCCGCAGCAGTGCCTCCTTTTGCACACTCCCAGCTGGTCATCTCACTGCGTGCAATGGAGGTTCTTCTGATCTCTCCAAGGTGAGGAACATAGTGATCTTCAAGCTCTTCGACATGTGCATCGACCCGAGAAGCAGTACCCGGGAGAAAATATAGGAATACACTGAATAAGGCTGCGGGTGGAAGTGAGATGCGTGTGTGGAGTGCATGCGAGTGAATGAAGACAGACATTTTCAAAGCAGACATAGTGAGTGGGGATGCAATGGTTAACTAGCATAAGAAGATATCACTCACAACTCCACCATTTCTTCAACAGAGGTCTACCAGTCTATGGCACATCGGGCCTTCGAGTGGACATGAGTAAAGTATGTTAGCATCGATATGTTGAGTTCCTTACTTATTTCGGTCTATCTTGTTATCTCGTACACCTTCATACCATATGACTCTCATCTTCTCTTCTCCGCACATTGATCCTCCGGACTCGTTACCTAATCGACTCTGCTGATATTTGGACCACGCTTCGCCTCTTGACCACCTCAGTATTGTTGTTCCAACTCTACTGAGGTGTGTACTGTGTCCGTCGTATTACGCCGTCTTGTATTGACTTATGCACTAGCCTTTGTCTAGGTACAGAATAATAGTATTGTTCTTACCAGAGCCAGAATCGCGTCCAGCATCCAACATGACATATGGTGATATCAAGGCGCGGTTGCGATATGAGGATGTTGAGTGTGTTTGTGGGATTGACTTGATCGATGGCGCTTCAGGAGGCGTTATGGACGAAGTGGTTGTTGGCAAGAAAAACCAAAGTTGAATCATTTGCTCCAGAGTGGTAGAGATCGTCTATCTTTGCGTTGACAAGACCTGTATGTAGATTCGGTAAACCGACTCAGGAGTAGTTTCGAAATACAATGGATCGAAGAAGGAGATCATGGTGGTGGGAGCCGGAAAAGTTCGACTACTGGTTACAACTGTATTACTGAGGCATTTTCGCGGGGTGTGGGAATTTGGTACCTTACTTACTAAGTGACGTACTTTCAGGAATCAGAATGTTGCAGCTGAAACTGTGGTCAAGTTCGAACCTCCTCCTGCCTTTTATCAGAACCCAAATGTGACCATTTCACACCAATTGACGTGACTGCATGGATAGTAAAGCCTGTAGTTTTATTCCCACATTTCAACCCGCCTCTTGTTGGCACGTGATAACACGTTGTATGTGTTGGACTGGCACAGATCTGGGTTTTACCCTGCATGGTTCGAGTATGCCAGCATGCATTGTGACGTGCATTTAAAGTCACGTATATCTTCTGATTCCATTTATCTCTCACACTATTTCCAGTGAGTCGTTCCCTGGCAGGGAGCAGTTATAACACAACCCAGCCTTCCACACCAGGTCGCACACGAAAGCTCATAGCGGAGTACCAGAGCAACATTGGGTGGGCACTTCACATTGGTGCTTTATCGTGTAGTACTTGACGTGTGCGCTAATACCAAATGCCATAACGTGCAAGTCAGCATCGTGCACTGTGCTAACTTGACCATACCAGTCCACGGTCATGTGGGTTTCGCCTTCAGGACTGAGTAGTCTCGTCATTGAAAAAGGTGCTCTGCTCATGTGTTATGACGATCTAATACATCAAGGGAGATTGTTGGATTCATTAACTCGGAAGGAGCGGGATTTACTCAGGCTCATTTTTCAGTAGGGTAAGAATCACCATCCTCTCCTGGTCGAGTACAATATCTCAAACATGGGCATTTGAAACCTTGTTCGTGGACCACCTCCACGAAAGGGAGGTAAGTTAAATCTGCACAGTCTGACTCGAGAGCTGTTATTGTAGGTTCCCGAATGACCTTGCCGACGCCACGCACCACAGCAGAGGGATTGAAGTCGGTCATAATGTTTCGCTGAAAAAGCTCGTCAGAATTAATGTATCATAGATGAGTCGTAGAAGAGCCTAAGTGATCAGCTTCTACAGTACAGAGTGGAACCAAGCTGGACCGACATAAGGCAATAGACAAGCGTAGCAGAACAAGTAGGGAATACAATACAATGGAAGAACTATAGATAACTAGATGAGATGATGGAAAATGTCAATGGTGTTCCAGAACGTTTCTTCCCTATACTTGATTATTTTCGATAGAGATACAACCAATCCAGAGCCAGAACCGCGTCCAGCATCCAGCTCGACGTATGGTGATGTCAAGATGTGAGGTTCCAGGCACCGCCGTGGTAGTGGAGACTGTAGTAATTGCAGCTGATGGCGTGGCTTGCTGTGACGACGATGGTGGGGGTGTGCTCTGGGTTGCTCCGCCAGTAGGTTGTTGCATGACATGGATCTTGGGAGGTCGAGAGGAGCTGGCTGCTTTCTTCCCTCTTGCATGATAGTCCCTCTGCATGGAAACGTGTCAGTGATAAGAAGCATAGAGGTAGAAAAAAAGCGTACAGGCTTGCCCGCGGTGAACGGGACGTCAACTACCGGTAGTTCTCGCAATTGGATGTTCGATCCATCTTGTCTGCGTTGCCTGCCGGACATGATGTTTTTAGCCCAGCTACGAGGGTGTGATCTGGACGGGGTGTCCTGTTCGGTTGCTCCGCGTGAATTGGAGCGCCGGCGCCAGAAGGAAGGTAAGCGACCGAGGAGAGTTTGTTGATTTGGTGTGGTGGCATTTCGTCCTCGGGAGGTAGAGAACTAATAAGATAATGGTCAAAGGAGACGTTATATTACAGATGGAAATCACGTACATCGTCGAAAAACCCTGGGGATAGTCGACTCGGACGAGTGCCTTCGATTTTCGAAGGTCGCGGTCGTGTAGCATCAGCCTAGTATGTAGATATTCAAGGCCGTGCAAAAGGTCAAGAGGCACATAGCATACATTAATGTTAAATGGCTTCTTGATTGTTTTCTGTGATGAATGAAGATGAGTGAGAAAGGCTGTTGAAGAGACATGATGCAACATACCACCTGAAAGGACGACCCATTGTCAGCATGATTGAGGATGAAATGTACACAAGCTTACATTGTCTGATAGAAGGTGGTCGAGGCCAGCTTCCTTGATGACACCAGAGACATCCCATTTGTGTATGACCTTGTCATCGCAGCCAGTGACGAGCAACCTTCCATCCACAGAAAAGGTCACACACCTCACCCAGTCTTCATGGTAGAAGGGTTGTCCGATGGGCTGATTGGTTTCTAGGTTCCATAGTCGCGCTGTCCTGTCATATGATACGCTTGCAAGGATGCGTTCATTCGGAGACAGTGAAATATCACCGACATGATAACCTATGTGTCCCTCCAGAACAGCGGTTTCGGTCCAGGTGGCGGTGTCGAATTTCCTAATTTGATGGGATGACCCGGTGATAAGTGTCTTTCCGTCCGAGATCCATGCCAGGGACCAAACTCCGAAGTCGAGTGTTTTGAGCAATTCGCCTGTGTTCGCATCCCAGACTTTCAGCTTGTCAGTGCCCGTCGCGATCATCGTACCATCGGGTGAGTAGCAACCCGCCGACACGTAGCTGCCTTTCGCTGCCTCGATTGGTCCGAGGATTATCTTTCCGCTCTCGACGTCCCATACTATGAATGTCCCACCATAGCACCCGCTCACCACTCGCCCTCCATCTGGACTCCAGCACACAGACCGCACTTCCTTTGTGTGCCTCAATTTTTTGATGACCTTGCCTGTGTCAATTTCCCACAATCTCACTGTATCCTCACTCCACTTGCTACTGTCTTGCAGTCCGGCGAAAGTGCTATTGTGACTCACACTTCTACTTCTTTCGTTCATCCAGGCCTTCCCGACCTGCATACCGCTCTCCAAGTCCCAGACTCGAAGTGTGCCGTCGAATGAAGAGGTGATAATCCGCCGGTTATCGGGCAGCCGTAGGACGCCAAAGACGGAGTCGGTGTGTCCTTGCATCCTTGGAGAGGCTTGGTCACTGATTTCTCTTGCTTTTCAGGGACTCGTGAAGACATGCTATTGGTTCGGAAACTTCACCTAATAGGAGCGGGACAATTTCAGCTCTCGCCCACCAAACGAACGCCATCACTCACTCAGAGGTACTTGATTTTACGCAGAACACACCCGCCCAGGACGAATGAAAGCTCAAAAGGAATGGAAATATTGTTTGATGCTCGGTAGAGCTAGATGGAGGTTGCTGTTCAAGTCCTGTACATGTGCGTCTTCCTTGCTTTATCCTCATGCAGCTTGCTGTGCAGATCAAGCGCCCGAGTCACGTTGTCTGACAACCAGTTTCTTCATCAACATCGACATCTCAGCATCACACCTGTTATCAAGCGAGCCCGCATTTCTATCATTTTTTACCCACCCTTATCTCCATCGCCGGCAAGAAATATCTCTGAGACATCCATCCAACTCCACCGCATTGTTTTCTCTAGCATGTGTCTCGCAAATCATCTCAGCCCACAGTTCCCGTATCTCTGCAAACATCCCCCACATCAGTAAAACCTCGAATTCATTTTCCGACATTATGTCACTTTCCTCGCCTTGGCGCCAGTGTCAAAGTGTGAAAATCAATCTAAGGAGTGATAACCCGAGCACAATGGGGTTTCTCCAAGGCGTTCCAGAGTAGCTAAGAGAGTTTGGTGTGCAAAGGAGAAATAATGCATGTTCAGAGAGATAATGATAGTATATATACAAATTGTGTACAAGTAGCTATGCTGAACATGGTAAGATCAAAATGCAATCTCGAATGCATGGTGGTCAGCATATTTGTTCACACAGTAAGCTCGAAATGCATCATACGAGTCATAATATTTAAATCCCCGAGGCAAAAACTCTGTGCCATACACGGGAATGAGATGTGCAGCACGATAGATAGCATCAACGTGAATGATGGCATGCTTGTCACTACCTCTGGGACGAACAATCCACATTCCCATATCTTCATCCACAGCGTTGCCAACTTTATCGAACCAGCATATCACAGCACAGGGATATATTTCACCCCAGAACCTGAATGAGAAAAAGGCACAAACTCGAGCGACCTCAAGGCCTTGCATCCCAGGTAAACTAGAGTCAGTGTTTACAAAGACACAGTTGTGGTGCAAGTGCTCGTTCTGCCAGGAGGGACAAGAGTGGATATGTTCAACGCGCATGCCACCAATACCGCTCAAATCACTTGGCGCATAGAATCGTGATGATGCTGAATTGAAGACCGAGATTTTGCCAAGATAGAGAGGGTATTCTGTGACGGGTATATCAGATGGGTCGTGGGGATCATCGGAATGCAATTGTTCGAATAAGAAGTGTCCAAGGAGGTTATGGAGGCGAGGAATGCCAAGTTCTTCAGCAAGTGCAGGCACAGTTTGAGCGCGCTTTTTGCCCTCTGTCCAGAATGTTAGGATACTATTGAGAAAATAAGAAAAAAAGAAAATGTACGGGGCATTTTTGCCAGCTGTATGACAGCTTGTAGAACGGTTGGTCCATCATCAATTTCCAGGTCCCCATCGATGCTGATCTGCAGAGGTGCTACATCTGCAGGTGCAGGTGCGGGCCCAGGTGCCAGTGCAGGTGGGGGTGCCGGCTTGTTCTCGGTGATCGACGAGCAAAGGCCATTGGGTGCAGCAAACAGCCGTATATTTTGGATATAATGCTTGAGCGAATGCTGACAAGGTAAGGAGAAGGTAGGAATAGCACCCGACATCTTGAAGAGTTCGTGGTAATGGTGAAAGCGTGAGAGTGCATCTTCGATCTTGACTAAGGCATCATCTGTGATGATATTATGGCGAACCAGGTAGCAAAATTCTAGAAGTGCGTGGAAGGCACACACAATGTCTGTAGGTAAATGACCCTCAATGGCGGGCAAATAGACCTGTTGGATTAATAAGTTCTGTGGTGATAGTGAGACCGAAAATCTGCAAATTACCTTCATCAGGGCCTTAGAATCGTCTCCCATCCATTGCTTGAAACCCTGCCCCTGAGGGAATTGTCGCAAGCCTGAAAATGAGGCCACAGCAGCAATCCTAAGACATGATGAGGAATCATATGTAATATGAACACTGGACAAGCTTACCTGCAATCAATATCATCCATAATTCGCTCGGCGTGTCGTTTTGGATGAATGTGTCTTAGGTATTTTTCAACCCATTCCACGAGGTGGTCCTTGAAGGCCCCTTTTACGAGCTGGTGGAGGATGTTGGGTGAGATCATCTGATATATGTCGGCTCAGGGGAAGTCGTTTGTGAACGGCTGTTGAGATAAAATTGTTAGTATTGTTGATGACCCTGTGAGGCACATGCTAATTGACATACTACGAGTTCTGGGACTATTCCCGTGGCATTGAACATACCACTAAAGGGACCTTCTTTGATAAGTGCATCTACGTAGTCACGACAGTGACACAACACATCTTGATCAAGATTGGCATGAGGTGCCATACATCTGCAGAGATTATAGTGTTAATTTAAAGAAACATAGAGTGATAAATACATACTTAGGACACCGACCATGAATGATACACGTTAACAGGACTTGCTCCTCGTAGTCCACAATGTATGGCCCTAGTCCATAGATAACCCACTGGTAGTGTCTGTCTCCGAAATGGGTGACTTTGGGGGTTGTCATAGCTGGTTTGAGCAGATTGAGGATCTTCGATTGCGACGAGTGGAACAATTGTCGTCGAAAATTTCGGAAGGCCAGCTCTTCAGCATGTTCCTTGGTAGCTGTGATAGATTAGTTAGCATACACTAGAAGACTTTGCGCTATGACATACTTGATGACATAGCAAGGAACCCGATGATCACCAGTCCATTACAATGGGCTCATCGGACGTTGTTGCGAATATTACTGATTGATGCATAAAGCGGGTAATACCCATTGTTCCCTGTGCCGACCGAAACAGTGGTCTTGTCACTACCAAGGATGATAGGGACAAATGTTGAGCTGAGTGTGCTCAGGTCTTTAGCAATTTCATCCTACATACAAATTTAGCAGTCACTATTGAAGATGTGCCAAGTACTTTACTGCCTGGTCCCATGCCCAGTTGCCTGACATAAAATCTTTCCACTGCTGCTGATCGTTCTCCGATGAGTATTCTTGATATGGGCGGTAGTCAAATTCGTTAGCATATGTCGGATTGGCAAGCATATTGCATGCCACTTCATGTGGGTCACAAAACCACACATCATACTTATCATCCATCCAGGGCTTGGGGTTGTCATGTCTCTCGCCATCATAGGCCACCGTGAAACATTGCCATTTCACATCTCCGAAGGGTGAACTATCAATGACTTCATAGAGATCATGGTGATCTGCAAACGGTGGCTTGTCATTGTGCTTTGTGAGGGTAGATGCCCATAAGTCCAGTAGCCGATTAATCTGACCTGCCGGCATCTGATTTTGCATGTACAAGAACTCTGCCGTTTCAAATTCTGCACGATTGTGAAAGGGTGTCCAGTTGTCAGAGGCTAGATTCTTGGGAGGGGGGGGGGGGGGGGGGGGGGGGTGGAGTGCCAGGGGGGAGATACATGCCATCAGCATCACATGGTCTACCTGCAATTGTGCTGAGTGAAAAATAAAATAAAATCAGCCAGCAAATGAACATTACCGTCGAGACCCGTGTGGTAGTTCCTATACAGGTGATCCCCGGGCCCAAAAAATTCTGCATCGATGTTTGGCTGAGGGGATGGTTGACATGGGGGCTCGCCCATGTTGATATTGTAGTCAGCATGTCCTTCATCAACATTCATTTCAAAATGGTGGTGCGCATGCCCCTCATCGATGTTACCAGCGTGTCCTTCAACATGAGGGTGCACAGCAAGACAATGTTTCATTTGGCCAGTGATAGTCTTGAACCACCGTGCACAACTTCGACATGGAATTTGAAGTGCGCTATGGTCTCGTCAGTGCAATTGAGTGTGAGGAATATTGTCAGGCATTGCAGTAACTAAAGTTCAAGGGGATCAGCTTGTCTTCACGGTGTTGGGAGAATAGCCAATACCAGCTGTGGATATCTCCCCGTTCTTCGAATTAGCTTGTCTTTGTGGCGTTGATAGAATAGCCAATACAAGCTCTGGATATCTGCCCGTTCTTCTGGTCAGCTTGTCTTTGCAGTGTTGGAAGAATAGCCAATACCAGCTCTGGATATCTGGCGGTACTGGCTCTAGGAATGATTCTGCGTGTCTTCTCATTGATGTTTTGTTGACGCCCAGTCTGTAATGTCAAGTGAACACTAAAGGCATGAAAAATGACAACAAACTGACCTACTAGAATAACGGATGTTTTGCACATGTGTGCACCAGCCTGAATCGTGAAGGAGACGGTCTAACAAGCTGACTGTAATAGGAATAGAGTGGGGCGTTTGTTTGGTTGAGTGAGTTCTAACTTTAATATGATAACTTACAAATTTGCACCGACAGCCAAGGTTCAACTCCAACCACTCAGAGTTCCGCTCACTTTTTTGCCTATTTCCAGCGTGCTGCCTTGTTGGAATCTGCTACTTGTTAGTAATGGCTGACATCACTGAGCCACGCCACACTCACCCACCGAATGCAAACAAACACCTGGGCTTGCCTGACCTGCAAGGACAAAATCAGCGGTGCTCTCGGGCCAAGAAAGCAGAGGACAACAAACTCCTCCAGGAAACCTGCGAAGCTCAAGAGTGGGCTGCAGTCGAGGGGTTGCAGCAGCTTGCTGCCATGCAGGAAGAGATGAAGGAGGCAGAGGTGCAAAGCATGACGAAGAAGCCAAAGGCAGTAAAACCCTGCGCTCGCCCTGTCAAGAAAAAGGCAGCTCCTCCTCCAGCAGATAAGAAGTTCCTGGCAGCAGAAAACAGTGAGAGCAGGTTGCAAAAGTTCGGTGATGCTGGCCCACATGAGGATGGTACTGTTGAGGATCAAGATGCGAAAAATAAGCAGGACAACACAGATGCGAGATCAAAACCAAGAAGAAGACCAAGAAGGACACGTCTCTTATCAAGGATGCAGCTCGAGGTTCGCAGTCAGGGGCATGTGTTGAAGACAAGAAAGGAAAGTCTTCTACTCTGACGTGTGTCTATTCTTTTTGATCAACAACAATGTTGATGCTTACTGAATCAACACTTTTCTTCCTCAACTTAACCTCAAATTTCAGGACAAATTCCAAGTTTTCACTGGCAGGGTGCATCAAGGGTTGGGCTTCAAACATTGTACCAGACTCAACTGATTGGCCCATGTCAAGTGCTTCCAAGTCTCATACCGTGGCCTCAGCATTGTCCTTGGCACATGGGCCACCAAGTAGCACTTTGTCTGGTTCCGGTGCTATGTCAGTGTCAGGTGTAACCACCAGCAGCCTGCATAAAATTCCCCCTGTCACTGCTAACACTACTGAGGCTCTTGTTGGTGGCTTTGGCGATGAGCTTTTGGGTGATTCAGAAGAACACCTGGATGCCATCCTCTCAAAGCCATCTGCAATTAAGGTGCATGGCAAGCCGCCAAATAAAATTAATTCTAATGTAGCAAATGGACACTACAGATTGCAGATACGCTGACCGAGCTTACTGACAACACCGACTTTGAGATCAATGCGCCAATGGATGTAGATGACAACATGCAGACAGATGCAGACAACAATGCACCAACAGATGCAGACAACAACACGCCAACAGATGTGGACAGTGACACACCGATGGACGCAGATGACAATCCACTGATGGAAGACAACAACGACTTGTATGTTGGTGATGGGGCCCATAAGTCTGAGAACAGTGACAGCCAGAGCAGTCTCACATTTCGCTGCCCGACGAACCAGAAGCGCAAGGTTGTGGGTACCAAATGCCCCATCCAAGTCTTCAAGGATTCATCAGACGAAGATGATGATATTGAGGTCTTGGATGTGGATCCTCGTCTTACTAAGCCTATGGGCTCTGTTGGAACAGCCAAAACAGCGAAGAAGGCTGTACATTTGACATCCTCAGTAAGTTCAAATTTTAATGGCAATAACTACTTATATTATTGGACAGACTTCCATTGGCATCTCCAAGTCGTCCACGACAGTGCATCCGCCTGTGAAGAAGGTCAAAACCGAAGAAGGGGTCAATGACACTGCACCAAAATCAACACTTGTAGCATTGCCTGGTCACTGGATCGAGGCGCAGTAAAAGTCCCACTCAACCTACCGAAACATTGACCTCCCTCCTCAGTGCCAGGATCAGCGGTGGACCAAGCATTGCCTCACAACTCTTTACCTGTGGGCTGGCAGTCAAGTTGATGTCTGGCAAATCCCAGACACTTCTCTCGTCGAAGCACTCCAATGTATTATGGACATCGTGTATGATACAGGTCTTCAGTACAAGGTGACCAGTCAAGGTTCTGTCTTTGGCGTTGTGGGTTGCACTTTTTTTTTTCATATCACTAATACTAGTTGTGCTGTGGGTTGGCTATGGCTGACTCAGGCTTGGCATTTACTGGATAGTTGGCAGTTCGGACAAACAGGTGAGCCAAGTCACCAGTAAGCTCTTTAGATTGGTTCAAAGTGTTAGTCAGCCATGCAAACCAGCTATGAACCAAGAATGTATGAACACTGGCTTAAAATGGCTTAAGCCGTTTTAAGCCAGCTCCAACCAACTCGCAAACGTGTATGAAAACATTTTCTCGTTCCCTCAGGCTCCAGGACTCAAGATTGCAGTGTTGATTGGATTGTGTACCATGAGTAAAGTCCCTGTTCGAGTTGATGGAAGATTTAGACTGGGAGATGTTCTGGGATCTGGTTCATACAGTATGTAACTATGTCATTCACATGGTGACTATGTTGATTCAGACGGATCTCACTTAGGTGTTGTGTACCGCACACAAAACATCATAAATAATGATGTAGTTGCTATCAAACTGGAACCCATTGTCAATAATTTGTCTTCTATGCAGCATGAATACCACATTTTGAAACAACTCGAAGGTGGGGTTGGCATACCCCATGTACTTTGGTTCGGTAGAGAGTCGATGTACCATGCTCTGGCTCTCAACCTCCTTGGTTCATCACTGCATGATATATTCCTCATACACGGTCAGAAATTCAGCCTTCATACTGTCGTTAATCTTGGTGACCAACTGGTGAGTCGGTCTGTGGTGGGTTGTTGCAGAGGCTAATACATTTACTCAGCTCTCACGTCTCAAATACATTCACTCACACAATTACGTCCATGGTGATATCAAACCACAGAACGTCATGGTGGGTCTCAATGATTTGAGGCACACTGTCTTTATTATCGACTTCGGTATTGTGAAGGAGTACTGCAACACTTCAACTAGAATGCACATACCATTTCGCCATGATCGACGTCTTACCAGCACCCCTGCATTTGCCTCAATCAACAACCACTTAGGAGTCGAGCCAGGTCGCCGCAATGACCTCGAATCACTGACATATATGTTGATATATTTCTTATGTGGCTCCCTCCCATGGTTATCTGATGGCCACGAGAAGCTTTCTAGCGCTGCCATACTCGAGTGTAAAGTAAACACTACTGTTGAAGTCTTGTGTCATGGAATTCCTGTCAAGTTTGCGAGTATTCTCATTTACTCGCGCTCTCTTGCATTCTCAGAGGATCCTGACTATGACTATCTTTGTTCATTACTGCATGGTCTCCGTGTCACATTGCCCACATCAGCCACGTGCTTGCTCGATTTCGGCAAGCCCGATGATCTTTCCACACATACTCCTGCAATCCCTGATGAATATTGGGTGACTGAGGTGACACCCCCATATCCACTGAAGGCAACGCCTCTTCGCCGATCAACTTGTATGTGAGTAGTCCATTTCATCTCACTCGTGAACCGAAGCTCAAGTTATCTGGAAGTTTACATCCACATAACAGCTCCCAACCACATGCCCCAACTTCAACTCCATGCAGCAAAAGTAGCCGACGCTGTTGATGGAACACATGTAGCTACTAGTACGTATATGTACATAAAATGAACGCATGTATTCACGTTGCTACAGCCCCAGTGAATCTTGTCTAGTCTGGGCTGTAGGATATTTATTATTAGCCAATTATGAGTCTCCCACCGCCACGCTCTAATCAACATTGCGCAGTTATGGAACCTCCATGAGGTACTTGCCATTAAACCAACGAGTCACTTCCCTAAGTTCCCTTTCTGACTTTATTGCAATGTGATATAGATCCAGGCTAGTGTTGCTGTCGAACTGAAGTGACCTCGAGGTAATTCAGGTTTGGTTCAAAATTGAGGTAGTTCAATACAACTCAATTTGTTTACGCCTCGTAGATAAGCATTGAATTAGGAATGAACTGCCAAATGAAATGCTAAATCTGGCCTGTGACTTGGTGATTTGTTAGAGTAGTACTCCATCAACCTCACATCTCTAGCATTTCCTCAATGTATGCTGCTCCTCCATTTCCTGTCCTCGAACCTTTGGTCTAGAATGTGATTATACGTATTTTCATTGGACTGCAGTACTGCTTTAGTGCCAGAGGACAGGTGCCTGCAATGCTGTACAATACAAATATTGAACAATCCTCCAGCGTGTTTAGGCGACCAGTGTCTAGGTCATCATATAAATTCGTGTGTCGTACTGTGAGTTTAGTATTGTATTCACCAAACATGAGTTTTCACCAGTGGAACAGTTCTGCAGCTTCTGCTACTAGTATCTCTTCGGCATCTGAGCAACAGCATCATCACTCTCACCCAGGCTATACAAGTCTGCCATGGTCCACCGCTCATGCACGTCCACCATTTTACCCTCAAGATGGTCTGTGAGCTTGGGCGTTATGAGCATGAACCAGTCACATTCAATGCAGGTGAGCACGTGACTGATCTTGTTCGCTTCTGGGAGGTGAGGTCGACTTTTCCTTCACATAAGGAAGGCGCTAAAGTCGATTTCAGCACATGGAAAAAGTCTATCCACTATTTTTCTGTGTTGCTATGGATGTCCTGCCAGCTCAGGCATCCTCTGTGCCGTGCGAACATGTATTTTCATCCAGCAAAGAAACATGCACACTCCATTGAAGCAGACTCTCACCACGAGTATTGGAAGCACTCCAGATTCTCAAGTTTTCTTACAGACAGGAGAGACTATGTTTCACTAGGGAATCAATTGCAAAAGAGGATGACTATCGAATTTTGGGGCCTGTGGCACGAAGGGCTGCAGAGGAATTGATACATAGTTACGGGGAAGTTCAATGAGCTTGCTGATCTATTACAAAATGACGATGATGATAATGTAGAATGAAACATAGCCACTTCATATCTACTTCACTTTACAAACACTTCTCATTGGCTGGAACTTCAAGCCGTATTCGTTACACTTCAGTTCATTTCACCTCGACCCATCAAACCTAGAATGAACTCCCACCTTGTTTTGATTGGGTTCAGTTCGCGGCAACACTATTCCAGGCTCATCCAGCACTCAATCAATCAGCGGCTATGTTCTCCACCCACTACTTCTCTTGCACGATGACCATCCCGGCAATACTACAGTGATATCTGGATACTTAGAAGTTTTTTCTACCTTCCACCTTTGGTCGTACCTACTGCCTACATACTTGTTCTGGGAGAGCTATACGCAGGGGCATTGAACTTTGACTTAGTATGAATGACCAGGAAAAGTGCTTACTGAGCACTGAGCAGTGGTTGAGGTCTTTGCCTCTGATGTAATCGATTATTGATGGGGTTCACTTATATCCCACCCTGCAGTAGCTACTGTGGAATGCTAACAGGGCACCATATATTCCACTCGACATCGATCATGGGCATCTGCTATGGCTAGTCAGCCAATCTGTGCATCGCATTTTTATCAGTATTAGGTAGAAACATTTTTCACTCACATTTCCTGCAGGGAATATCCAATCAACAACGCCTTATGTCTAGTTTCAGCACTCACTGAACCGATCGGTCGATCATGAGGGTGAAGGCACGACCAAGGAGTTGCCATGCTGTCTAGACTCTGGCTCTTCACCTTGTACGGCCACCTATGCCCTTTCGCTCAGTGCCCTTGGAACTTTACAAGTAAGTGGTCCAGAACTCCGTACTACTTTCTACAGTACTCATTGATATTTTTCCGTTTATATAAAGAGGGATTGCATTGTTGGGTCTTCATTACTACTAGTCTACTACGGTACTACCAATATGCCACCTCGCTGGCGTGCGCCCAAGGTCGTTGCTGCTGCTCCCATTCCCACTCCAATTGTCACTACCCCCACTGCTGCTGTCACCGCTCCTATACCCATTCCCACTGCTGTTGTCGCTGCTCCCATCTTGGCCCCTGCCGCCATCATCCCCATTGCTGTTGCAGGATTTACAAACCCACGTCGAGACCAGCAGCTCCCTCTCAGATATCGAGATAATGATGCAGCTTGTGCTGGTCCAAGTCGCACAGATCCTACAGTGGAAGAAGGGGAGTCTTTCAACCTTGAGGATGTCTCTCCAGACGAAGAAATGGACAACTTGCCTGCACCTACGGTCAGGGAACCTACAGGCCCTAGCCCACTGCAAACTGCAATCAACACTGTCCATTCCACTACAACCGACCCTTTGGCCACCGGTGGTTGCGCCAAAAAACCTAAAAGCTCTGACAACATTCTTTTCTTTTTTAGGGAAGATAAAGTTGCTAAGCGCAGGATCTGCATACCTTGCGAGTAAGTATCACGTCTGCGTCAGTCAAGACATTTTTTCTTTCTTACATTCTTTACCAGGCAAATGAATCAAGAGGATGCCTCATACCCAGCGACATCATATGCCAACTCTACTGCCTCTGGAGGTCGTTGAATGCACTTTTCAATTGTCACACCAACCTTTACTTAGAAGAGGCAGAGCGCCATGGATGGCAGATACAGATCAAGTCTTTGAATGATCTTTTTGATGAAGGTTGGACCCTTGCAATGATCCGTAGATGGCTGAAGAAGGATCCAACTTGTACCATTGATTCACTTGGTTCGCCCTCTGATCGCGATGACACGCAGCTCAGGCAGTTAGGACCTCTGCAAGATGAATTACCCGACTTCACCATCAATGAAATGCATCGACAGCTCGTCAAGTTTATCATTATTGACGACCAGGTGAGTCGCCAACTACTTTCTACAAGCTATTGTTACTAATGTCTTCAGGCAATCAATCTCATTGAATGCCCTGAATCTCGTTGACTGATCCGTCTTCTGTGACCGGAGTTAAACAATTCTGACATCTGTCACCACACCAAATTGCGGGAATTGATCCTTGACGCTTTCAATGACTACTTCAAGGCCTTAAAGAGCGACCTTGCAGTAAGTGTATTACTGTTGAGAGTCCCATGAAGTGTCTTATATTTTTTCAGAAGGTGCAAGGAAAGATCTCATTTACCTCCGACCTGTGGTTGGATTCTAATCTCCGTCCGTTTATGGCAATCACTGCTCACTGGATCGCCAAAGAAGATTGGACTAATGTGCTCATCTTAAAGGCAGCACTAATAGCTTTTCACCATACCCCAGGGAGTCATGCAGGAGATAGCCTGGGCTCATCCATACTGGGCCTCCTCAATCGTGCCAATGTAACAGATAAAGTAAGTATCTAGTTTTTTCAACGTGACATGCACTGACTTCATTTAGTCAGGTCATTTTACTCTCGATAATGCAGGAAACAATCATACTTCCATGCAAGAGTTATTGCGTCTATTGGAGCCACACAGGGTACATTTTCATCCTGTCAAACAGAGGGTCCCGTGCTTTCCTCACATCATCAACATCTGTGTGAGGCATGTTCTCGATGACTACTGGAAAGCCGACTTTTCAGGTGTGGTCGACAGATGGGTAGTTGAAGGTAAGACCATCAGCAAAGATATGTATGTTGAAGCCATCCAAGGCAAAGCCCTGGATTGGGCGAGGCTCCTCATATGCACCATCTGCGCATCAGACAAACAATGTAATAGTTTTAGGGTAATCATTACCACGGGAAACAACGAGAAGTGGTTCCAAGATGACTCAGGTGCAATCATCCAACTCCCCGTTGTGCAACTGCTACATGACGAGCCCACACGTTGGGATTCAACCTATGTCATGCTGAACTGTTTACGAACCCTTTGCCAGGTAAGCATCCACCTGTCATATACCGGATCCGAGTACCCCCAGTACCTCCTATGAGCATCCCCACTGCTGGCCCGACCCCCTGTTTCCCTGTCTGCTTCATTCCTCCTTCCCCAACAATGCATGACGTGCATCTCAGTAGGATTAGCTCTGCTACCTCCATCCGACTCCGTTCCACTTTTCCGACATTACCCCTATGTCCTCCGACACCATACCCCTTCCATCCGACCCTATCTGGGGTTTTGCTCCTCCGCCCTATCGGTCCGCCCAATCCTACTCCTACTCCCTCCGCTTTTCCTCCCCGCTCGGATCCTTCGGTTCCACTTGTATTGACCCACCCAACCATTAGTCCGTCCGACTGCCTCACCGGTCCACTCCTAGACTAGGAACCACTCAACTGGTCCTATCCCCATTTAGTATTATAGTTCCGCTTTTCGGATCCCCGGTAATCCCTATACCCTAGCGAGTCTGATCCATCACGTACATACTTTTCTCTGAGCCTCATTCTCATATGTCTCAGTCATCCCATTGTAATCCTGTACACTCAGCACATAGCCTTCTGCTATGCTATGCTCCTTACTTAGAGTATATAAACCTATGTACATTTGTCTGTAGATACTCAGTCTGAATATTACCTTTTCTAAGCCCTGCTCTTCTGTTCTTTGACTTGGGCCTGATCCTAGCCAATTCCTGTTAAAGCCAGCCTAGGGGATTGACTCCCTAGGTCGGCCGTTCCTCCGTTCCTCCGTTCCTCCGTTCCTCCGTTCCTCCGTTCCTCCGTTCCTCCGTTCCTCCGTTCCTCCGTTCCTCCGTTCCTCCGTTCCTCCGTTCCTCCGTTCCTCCGTTCCTCCGTTCCTCCGTTCCTCCGTTCCTCCGTTCCTCCGTTCCTCCGTTCCTCCGTTCCTCCGTTCCTCCGTTCCTCCGTTCCTCCGTTCCTCCGTTCCTCCGTTCCTCCGTTCCTCCGTTCCTCCGTTCCTCCGTTCCTCCGTTCCTCCGTTCCTCCGTTCCTCCGTTCCTCCGTTCCTCCGTTCCTCCGTTCCTCCGTTCCTCCGTTCCTCCGACTTCCCATGCATCAGAACTATACCCCACACTCTCGCATCCATCCCCTCTGTTCCGCTCTGCTTCGGACTTCATCCAAAGCAGTTCCGACCGCAGTAGTCTCCCGCTTCCCTCCTGTCGGGTGGAACAACCCCCGCCCGACTTTCCCATGCTCACCTAGTAGTCCATCGGTCCTCCTTCAGAGGACCCCTGTTCTGACGTCCTGTCGGAACTCCTAGAACTCGTGTCGGACTACACCCTGAAATTAGGGGCATGTACTCAGGTAAGGGGCGCAGTGTACGAGCTGAAGCCAAGCCCCTCAGACTCTGCTTTACCCCTGAGCACAGTCTTAACACCACCCCACTAAATACATGGACTAACAGAGAACTAGGCCGTGGATTTATTCTGCGACTCCCCCCTTCAATGCCACATGATTGACAAGAAGTTGAGTCCAATGGAATGGCTCGTCCTACAGGATTTCAAAGTGATTTTGGAGGTCGGTACTTACATGTTTGAAACTCACAATCTGTTTTAGCATTTTATATTAGGTGCCGCACGCTGCTCAGCAAACAATGTCCAGCGAAAGCACTCCCATACTGAGTGGTGCAGTTCCCACTTTCGAGAAAATGATCCAGCGCTGGAATGAGTTGGTCCTAATACCACACCTTGCGCCTTTAGTTAACATAGGGTTGGATTGGACAGACAAGTATGATGATCGCATGAGCGCCACGAACACCTATGCTGTCACAATGTGTCAGTCCTGTGTACTTTAATCAAGTTTAACTCTCATCATTCCTCTCATAGTCATTGATCCTACAATGCGCATGTCATGGATGGAAAAACACTGGGGCAAGCAGCGAGCCAAGGATGCCAAGAAGCACATAATCAAACTGGTACGTCTATTTCACTAGTAACAGTACAACTCTGAACTTATATTCTGCAGATGCATGGAAAGAGAGGGACGAACACCTCTGGCTCTGCGCCATCTCCAATTACTGAAGTGCCACAACGCACACTAGGCGCACACATCTACGGACTTCCTGATATGGAAACACTGTCAGATTGTCACGATAGTGTCCAAACGGTTGATCAGGAGTTCGAGGCTTACAGTATGGCTACCTACAGCCCCAAGGGAACAGATATACTATCATTTTGGAGGGTAAGCCTTGCGTTTCTCTTGTGCTTTTGTCATCGACCATGAAGTGTCAACCAGGTGTCTCAGGGCATGTTCCCAACTATTTACGCTGTTGCGATGGACTACCTCCCAACACAGGCATCTGCTGTTCCATGCAAGCAGGTGTTCTCATCGAGTAGCAAGACATACACCAAAAAAAGGAATCACCTCAGCCCAGTCCTGATGGAAGTGCTGCAGATCATTAAGTTTATCCTCAAAAAGGAGAGACTTAACTTTACCAAAGGATGGGCAGCATCACAGCGAGACATGGAATATGTGCTGCTACGTGAGACAGGGTCTGACTCTGACAGGTCTTTCACACTTAACACCAGTGGAGTTTCAGGCGACAGTTCTGCACATGACGCTCTTCTCAGTGCTATTGCAATCCAGGAGTGCGACGGCATTGAAGATGCTGCTATTATCTATGGCGCATTACATTAATTTTTCTCATTTTCGTCAGTTCTGATCTCTTGCTTCTTGTTTACCACTACCTTTACTTGTTCTGGCGCTTGTCCTTTTTATGTTCTCCCGCCCCCGTCTCTGCAACACGTTCTCCTGCCCCCGTCTTCACAGATCTATGTTCCATTCTCCTTATCTCTGCTTGTTCCACTTGTATCTTATGAGCATGATTGAGACTACAATACAACTAATTCGACTTAGCTTTCTGAACATTGGATTAGAAGATTCACTTACATCGGCTTGGGGACCCATCCTGATTCATGATCGTCAATATCGGATGTGATTTTAGAGTATGTATTGTGTAGTATCGAGGATTAAATGGTAGTGTTTCCTTTTTGGGCATTTGACCCTAAGTATTATTATTACCAATGTATTTATAATTAAGCACAAAGATATATTCTAATTTTAAAGCTGGCTTGAAGCCTGTAAAACAGGTCCATTGACCGGACCGAGCCATATATTACATAAACTATAACTAGGTACACAGCTCGGCTAATTACAGCTCCGCCCACGGCTAAAGCCGACAAAAGCTGGAACCGCAGCAACACTAACTAATACTAACTGGTCACAATTTAAATCAGGCCACACAGCGTCTGGTGGAGTGGTGTGGCAAGTTCAGCTCGACAGGACTCGCTATCATGATTGACTTCTTCGCTCGGAACAAGGACACTGAACCAAAAGAGCTTGGCAAAGCACTTTTGACGGACTTCGCCTTTATTTTTGAGGACATGGACAACATGCATCCAATGCAAGCATTCTGATCTCCATTCATGCTACAACTCTTCGCTTCTGTTCATCTTCACATCATCATGGGGTATGTTGAAGTCACTGCACTTCAAATGGACATGTTGGCTGCCATTGGCATGGTTGGCATTCTCGGCATTTGTGCAGCTTCAGTAAGTACTGTGGACATACAGGAGACATGACTGACAGTGGTGTTTTTTTAAACAGCTCGAACGTGCGATCAACTGCATCTGCGACGGTGTCGTCGACATTGAAGTGGACGCCCTCGATCTTCGTCCTGCACAAAGGAAGCGCAAGCTGCGGACACCGAAGACCTTCAACAAGTCCACTGGCATTCTCAGCACTACCGAACATGCCTTCTCCGTCAACAACTGGGGGTCAGTGACCACAAGTTACGTGGTTAGTGTCAAGAAAAAGGGTGACATCTTCCTGAAGGGCACAACATCAATGGCCCAGAAGTTACTGAAGAAATCAGGCGGTACCAGCCTCTTGAAGTACCTTTGCCTCAATGATGACGATGAATCGGAGGAAATTGACTGGCACACTGTGTTGTGGTAATGAAATCAGTTCTATTTTCACTTATTAATGGACTGACATCATTTTATAGATCTCATTTTCGCGCTGCTCGCTGTGAGTTTCTACAGCAAGCAAATTTGTGTTGTGTGCCCATCTCTTCACACTGTTGCATTTTGCCTATTCCGCCATCACTCGTTGACGTTTTTCATCATCCGCATTTCCTCTCCTTTAATTCCCTTTTCTTTACCTACATCCACTTTACATTTTTCTCAATTACTGCCCTTTCTTCCTATTTTCACCGCATTTTCACCGTATTTTCACCGCCTTTTCGTACTTTACCATTGGACAATGTGATGCCATTTGCTCTATTATGACTACTGTTTTTACCGGTTAATGCCTGGTAAGTGACTTTTCAAGAGCAGCAAAGTAGAATTAAGAGCGTGAGTGGCCTTTTTCTCAATTTTTTCTGCTGTGTCTTCATGTCATCTGAACGGTTCTGCAAACCCGGTCCAACCCCGAAAAATAAGAATAAATAGACATTCAGAACCGAAATAGATCTGACATTTTACTGATGTACTGATGTGACATACTCGGTGATGGTATATGTCAAGCTGACACGGTCGTGATGCAGCACTGAAAAACATTAACGCGGCATAGACAAACCGTGACGGCAGCCTAGGCGATGATACAGCATGGATCAGGCTTGACATGATACTGACGTGGCACAGGTGAGACTTGAAGCTTGATGCAGCATGGATGGGGCTCGACAATGACAAGGTGAGGGAGACGAGGCTTGGCCCTGGACTGACACAGCCCGAATAACACTTCATGCAGCATCTGAAAACTGGCAACAGACCACCTTTAGAGACAGTACAGGAGGTGTGCTACAACCCTGTGCTCAAGCTGTATGAACGCAGAGTCCGTGCGGCGTGCCTGACAAGCGTTGTAAATGCTGCATCATTTCCACCAGGCGTCAAGACTGATATCCACGCTGCACAAGAATGCCCACAGTAGCCTTCTCAAGTTGGAACATGTGAGCAAGGATCAAATATATTTCCTGTAATATAGGTTCTTCCTATCGCCATGAAGTTCTGCCATAACAATATAGAAGCAAGCCGTCTTCCAATCATCTCCATCAGATTTATTTGATCACATATCACACTCACAAACAATGCGTTTCTGCTTCGTCTTTGCCATTGTTGCTGCTTTGGCAGCATCAATATCTGCCAGTCCCGTTGACAGCCGCACTGACACCGACAGCAGCAGTCATAATTGTCCCAAATATTGTCACTGGTCAAACTGCTGCGCTGGTCAGACATGCGTGGCGGAACCCACCTTTGAGAGTGACAATATCGAAATAGGTGTGAGTGGTTTGCGTCCTGGATTTAACCACACGACTCACCAGAGTGGTAGGTGACCTATACATGTAAATCTGTGTGAGTGGCATGTTGTGAAAGTGAACTACAGTGAGTCGTGTTTCTGGTTTCGCATTGGTGCAGGATGGTTGATGGCACGACGCGTGGCTTACTAGTGGTTTCTTGCCGAGTTGATCAATCTGCTTGCTTCTGGACAAATTTCACTGCCGCTCGAGTATTGGAGATCTTGGAATGGAGGAAATCTCAAATACTTGAATACATAGTATGTGACCGAAAAACTTGCAACAGAGTTTTGTAGTCTCGTTGTAAGCTTGAACATGGAAGCCTTTGATGACATTGCAACTCTTCCTCCCATCATAGGCGCTGCTTACTGGGCCTTGTGGGTGCATTTTTGGTCTGGACCGAGCCGCTGGGGTTTATCACAACCCCATTAGATAGTGGATCGTTGCCTAATTGCAAAAGCTCAAGATCCAGCAATAGCACTTGTGACCATGACTGCGCCATAGGATTAGTACGCCTCGAATGGAGAGGACTCAAAGTTGGACTGTGGACTGCTTTGTGTTATTCTGGAGCGGATATGTAAATTGTCGGGGTTGGGGTTGACTGCGAATTTTTTGAGCTTGTTGGTGTATGAGCAGGAGCAGGATAGTGCTGGGGATGAAAAGCAAGTTTTTGATCTGTGAGTCGTCGAATTGTCTGCGGTGGTTGACCTAGTTGACACGATGGGTTGAAAGATATCTGACAGGCTCAGGCCACGTCGCCTATAAAAGCCCGGCATGGTACATATGTTTTCATCGATCCATGCGCGCATATCATGATACAAGGCAGTGTTTGCTGGATTGCATCTGCATCCCGGATCTCGAAGCAGGGACGTGTCTGGATTTAGGATGATGTTTCACTTGATAGAGTATGCGGAGGGATTGAACCTCCTGGAGCGTGCATCGTTGCACCCATACTGAAGCAGCTAACAGACCAGGCGTGTAATATCATTGCATGGTCGGAGGTACATATGAAACTACATTGCATACTGAAGTCTATTCTAGGATGGTCTATTTTGTGCAAAAGGCGTAACAGCAATTTCACGTCCCAATATCATCTCCGTCCTCGTGAAAGAACGGAATCGTTCCTTTGCGATTGCATTCGCATATGTGGGCACGCTTGTGAAGCAGAGCGCGGAGGCGTTCCTTTCTTCTGAGCGTTTCTTCGCTGCGCGGATCCTGCAATGAACGATGATAGAGACAGTATGTGAGGGGGTTAAGAAATTGTATTGTGGGCACTGTGAATTGGCAGTATGAGACGGAGAGGTATTTGAGGAGTTAGGGCGTTTGGATGGGTGTTTGTGCCTGTCTTTGATTGATGTATGCACTGCTAGATGTTTTTTTTTCGATTGGTAAATGATTGGACGATCTGAATATGCGGCGTTCTGGGACTTTGTGGTTCATATGAGTTCGACAGTCGGAGTACGATTAATAGATAAGTACGTACTGTAACCATTTGACTCGGTTAACCCCTGATCAAGTTCGTGAGGACCGGAGTGCACAACTTGTTGAGTGAACGGGTTTCCAAGGGAAAGGAATTGCATCTGGAACCGAGACCATTATAGTAGTGCATTCCATTTGGACTTGAAGTATGACATGACATTCCAATGGTGATTAACGAGTGGAGTAGGTTCTGTTGGGTGGAACTCTCGACCTTTCCTACAATATGCATCTCCGTCACTCAGGCTCTGTTTATTTCTATAGTTTGTTCGTCTGCCGACCATCAACTTATTCTACTAGCTAGTAGGTTTTGCCTAGATTCTTGCTGGCATGTGAGCAAAATGTTTGAGTCCTGCCCACAACACGATTTTCAGCATGTGAATGTGAGCCGTCTTCAGCGCCTCCCCCCCTCAGAAATATTCTCACTGATAAATCTCGTGTAACCTCGCACACATAATGTGCTATGCCTGTCAGTGCATACAGTGATCTCGAACAAGACTCTTACCGTATCGGAGGCGATAAGGGGGTTTGGTAATTAGTACTAGTACTAGTAGTCACGTCGCGAACTAAGTTACAGTTGGACCGTCCGTATAACCGTGCGTGAACTAAGTTCACAAGATCTTAGGAACACACGAGGAAGGATATTTTCCATAAGATAAGTTCTTCTCCCATCATCATGGAGGTCTGCCAGCACATAAAAGCAAGCCGTCTGCCTACCATCCCCTTCAGATTTATTTGATCACATATTGCATCATCACAAAGGATGTGTTTCTCCTTCGTCCTCGCCGTTGTTGCTGCTGTGATGGCGTCAATATATGCCAGTCCCGTTGACAGCCGCAGTGACGCTGAGAGCAGTGGTCCTTATTGTCCCAGTTATTGCACGTGGTTAACCTGCTGCCTTGGCTTCAAATGCGAGTGGGTAGCCATCTTTAATGACCAGGTTGAAGAGGTCAGAGTGAGTATGAGTAGTTTGCATCCTGGATTTAACCACATGACTCACTGGCATGGTAGAAGGTGCAGGTATGTTTACCTGACAAGCACAGCGAACTACAGTGAGTCGCGTTTCTGGTTTCGCATTGGTGCAGCATGGTTGATGGCATGACGCGTGACTTACTAGTGGTTTCTTGCCGAGTTGATCAATCTGCTTGCTTCTGAACAAATTTCGCTGCCGCTTGAGCAATAGAAATCTTGGAATAGAGAAAATTTCAAATACTTGGATACATAGCTCAAGATCCAGAAATAGCATTTGTGACTTGTGGGAGTAGGTCATGACTCGGGAAGTCGATGCGAGTTATATCCCAGGCTCCTTCCCAGCTGCTGGTTCGAGTGTAGAGGGGCGGACTGCGAGTAAGTCTATGCGCTACATGGCGACGTGCCACTTCAGAGGATAGTGTCATTGGCAAACGAGAGGCAATGGACAAATGGTCTAAGGTGTGTACTACGAGAGGCCGTTTCTATGGATCGACGGCGTTTCTGACGAGGCAAGTTGCCTGTATGTGTTGAGTATTTGGGCGCCAGCCCGAAGGGCTGATCCGGCCCGAAACACGGGTTTGAACCTATGTATCAAGGTGAGCTGTGTTCCCGAATTTCAGGAGTGCAGCGACGCATGCAGCGCAGCTTGATTCCTTTTTGACAGGAGATGTGCTACTCACCACTTAAATACGTTTATCGAACAGGTGGCATTGTGTACCTGGTGAACGGTTCAAGACTTGGCGAGGCTTGTATGTATGGCGCTAGGCATCAGGAAAACCTTCCCACGTAAACTTAGAGCTAGTTAGCTACATTTTCGATAATTGTCACAATTAACACTAAGTTGTCCTAATTGTATAGATTAGAAGGCTAGCCAGGGCTGCACTACCTCATTTCAATTAGTGGAAAATAACAAAAGCCTATCGCTAGCTTGGACATGGCTGGTGAAGCCTTTTGCAATACTTTTAGACTGTGCTAGACAACACGAGAGACTTTTCACCCTTGACAAGTACAGGAAAAAATTAATCATTATTAACATTGGGTATCAATGCAGTAACATAATTACTAGAAACAGCCTCAAATACTAACTACAAAGGAAGCAAAAATGCGAAAATTAAGAGAGGAGGGAAGAGGGCTATAAGTGGGAGTCAGAGAGGAAAGATAGGAAAATAAAAGAGGGACTTACCAAATAGCCAAAAATGCGAAAATTGGAGGAGACTCTAGGAGGAAGAATCAGAGAAGAAAAAACCAGAAAGAAAGACTCACCAGATAGCCAAAAATGCGAAAATTGAAGAGGATGAGCCTATAGCAGGAGCAGGAGACTCACTAAAAAGGGCCAAAAAGCGAAAATATAATCAGTGAAGACAGAGACAAAGACAAAGACAAAGAAAGAAAGACTCATGGTTGAAGTTGGACGCATTTTTGCTTATCTAAGCAGTGCCACTTCAATTTCCCATGGTTCAACATTGCTTATATCATCAAAATTGCGAAAATTCTTACAAGTCCATTTGCCAGTAACACAACATTAGTTACACTTCTATTGACTCAAGTATTAGTTTAGTATGTATATAGCATTATAATAGAATATAATAGATGATTGATTGGATATATATTTGGTCCAGTGGCTCAACAGATTCAAGGGATATAGCAATTTTGGTGTTTTTGAAGTATTTAACAAAGATGACCCATTTCCCACCAATTGACCTGACTGCATCGATCGCGAAGCCTGTAGTTTTATTCCCACATTTCAACCTGCCTCTTGTTGGCACGCGAAAGTGTTTGTACTGGCACAGATCTGGGTTTTACCCTGCGTGGTTCGCGTGCATTTCAAGTCACATATTATGGTGGGCCAAATGCACTATAATTAAATCACGTGCACACACAATTTTCACGCATGCGCACGCAGAAAAAAAATGCACGCAGACACTTCAATGTTTTTCGTGTAACGCAGCAATGTATAATAGTTTGATGTAGAGTCAAATATAAAATAAGTGCTTGGGTAAAAACGGTCTAGAGGATTAGGTATCAAGTCCAATTAGCTGCAGTAGTATAAAGGAAAAAATGTTCAATGTTCAATATCATCATTTCCTATCCCAGGGATTGGCCTTTGGTTTGACGAGCATCCTGAATGCCGATCGAGATGATGTGAGTCGGGGGACGTTGCCCAGTGCCTGCAGATTCCGTGGACGGCCGGAACCAAGATCCCCAGGCCCATGTGCTGCATGAGTCGAAAAAACTGAGACGGAAGCACTGGCAGTACTCATAGTTGTCGAGGTACTGCCGGACTCAGATGCGGAGGGTACTAGCATATATTCCCTGGGAGTACCAAAGCCAATAGTATGATCAGTGTAGTAATCATCGTAGTATTCATCCGCTGGTGTGACACTGGCAGGCAGTGTGCTTGATTCTGAGTCATCCAGTGGCATGTTCAAAGTTGGTTTGTCTTCAGCTGGTGGGATCAAACCAACGTCTCCCAATGTCCCAGGCTCTGATTCCAGTTGTGTCACATCAATTTGTGCCACACTGCTCCTCTTGTCGCCATCCGAATTCTTCAAAGTGGACATTGCTGCAGGAACGTCTAACATGACAGGTGCCACTGAGGTTTGCGTTAATTTAACACTGCGGAAAAAATAATGGACAAGACTTACATTCTATACCTGTGTCTGCCAGTGTAGTATTTCCCAAATCTGATGCTTCTAATTCCATCTGACGGTCAGAGATGACTTCAAAATAGGTAGTAAGAATGCAAAATAATAAACGGAGAACTTGTCACATACCTTGGCGGCACTTTCTTTGTGGCCTTTTTGTCCTTTCATGCTCATAGCTATGATCTTCCACCAGTACAACATCGGAATCCGGGTTGGAATCAAGGAAAGTCGCAAACAGCTTGGTACCACTGGATCGAGTTCGTTTTTTAAGATTAGGAGAGGGTGCGAAACCTTTTCCCTTTGGGAGCACCGGCGCCTCATTCTCGGACTCATCCATATCATCGCTTCCAACTGTGTCTATGTCCTCCGCCTCTACAACTTCGCTCATTGAATCATTGAAAGAATCTGGGTCCACTTTGAGCATTGTACCTGGACAATGGTTTACACATATACAACATGCCTGGGTAATTTTCCATCAGGACTCACCAAAATAAATGAACTGATCAGTCCACTTTCGTCTGGCAGGATGGCGAGTCCTTAAAATGTCACTGCCTGTGAGTCCCTCCTGACTGCTCTTGACCATATTCTTGCCACTTTTGACAATCAAATACCAGTGAAACCCATCAAGAGCAGCATTGATATACTAGAGGGTCTTACTACCTTGATGACATCTTTACTACCACTGGAGTGCACCCCAACCTTCGCTGTGCAATTTGTTGCAGCAGACAGGGCTAGGTCTTGCTTTCGGAACCCTACATTTGTCTCTCGACAGGCAATGTCTTCTAACACACCTGTTTTTGACAACAGGTGAGAATATTTGGACATAATTGAACCAAAGCTAGAAGATGTTGGTGGCTGTTGTGGAATGACTTCCTGTGGATGTGATGTGTCATAATGGCCACAGTTTACACATATTGCAGGCTCATTGTCCTTTTGATCCTTCCTAAGCTTAGGGCAGAGGCATGGACACTGGGAACCATCATTGGTTTTGCCTCAGCATGTTTGTCCGTCAGCCGGAAGCATAGTGCTAGTGATGGTAAGTGATGAGGTGGTGGTTTTGTGTCGGATGAAATTGATTTTTAACTATTCCCTCAGCCACTTTATTTGGTACGTATTTTCAAAGATATTCAATAACTATCATAATTCTAGCAAGTAATGTAATATTGAAAGACCTTGTGCCCAAACGAGAGCCCATGACATCCATATTTTGGGTGGGAGGCCCATTGATAAAGTCTTTGTCTTTCAAAAGCCAACTGATATATCCTCGTGAGTTTCATAAGTATCAATAGCCCACTCCGATGCAGCAAAAAATGTGTTATCAGACCTCAAACCCGCAGACTGCACATCAGCAAGGGCTTGGCGAAATATGGCCTCCACTTCAGGAGAGGGGAATGGATTTGAATGATCAGGGACCGGGACTGGCTGGTCATGAAGGTTTGATTGCACGTCAGCAGCAATCTCTTCTCATAAGGGAGTCCAAGAATTGTCAGTGTCTTCTTCCGAGTCATTGATGTGAGACAGTGGTGGACCACCAGTACCGTAGTATTGGGTAAGTATATCAGGGTGTACATCGTGAAGAGGATCAGTGATATAAACACCATTCTCAACTTCAGAGAGAAAATGCATGTCCTGTGAGGTAAGCGATGGAGAGTTAATAGACAAAAATAAATAAAAGATTCCTCTACTTACTAGCAGAGATTGGTGGTTTGTTGTTGGACCAGAGATCGGATGATGATTCCATTCCTCCATAAATATTTTGCAATCTACATTGATCAGATCAAGGAAAAGAAATTGCAGGAGCCACAAGTGGTGGGGATTCTTGCAATTTAGGCCATGAAGACATTCAAGGCGTGTGAAGAATGCCTTCCATCGTCGGGCAAATTGATGGCCAACCTCCACCCAAAGGCATTCAATTCGGGTGTTATGTGTTGAGCTATCCAAATCATAAGTATCATGTCCAACTCCCACTGCTAGCTTACTAGTATCACTCACGATCCCCATAAAAACGAGCCTCTGTTTGGACCACAGTGCATCACCATCCAAACAGACACCTCGATGTTTTCACCCCCTCGATCCCCTCTCATCCGAAGAGGGACTCCGTATATTTCTATTGTTTGGAGAAAGATGGTGAGGACTGTTGAAGCACAGTTGTTGTTACTTGCTCGAAGAGCTACAATCTAAATTTGAGATCAGCAAATTTATTAAATTGTTGAAAAAGTAACTTTCTGTTCGACAGTAACCGTCAATAAGCCCATGGATGACAATTCCCCAGAGGATAAGCTTGTGATGCCCATCCAAATGCCAGAGGTGGTTGGACCGTGGCACGGCATATTTCCATCGTGCAATCACTTTTCGCCGCCGCAACATCTGACCAATAATGTTGACTCTATGCATAGAGCTTCTCATTCGATGCCGCAGAACACGAACACTATGGGCTCTTAGAAAGCCAACTAGGTAATGAAGGCCAGAATCTGGTTTATGAATCTTGAAGATCTTAACAAGGATATCAAGATCAGCATTGGAGATTGCTGAGAATTGCTGATACACATTATGCTTTTTGAGATAGCACCGAAGAGTATTCCGATGCATGCCCAAAGCAGCCGCCAAGCGTTTGAAGGTAATTTTTCAATGAGGAGAGAGAGCATCTTCAAGCCAGTGACTGTCAATAACTTTGCAAGGACGTCCACGTGTCCGGTGAGGTGGTATCTCTGTACTGACAGGATTGACCTTTGCATATCTAGAATTTGTGCTAGACGAAAAGTCATTAGATTGCTTTCATGTGACATTGTACTGGGAAGACCATTACTGACATATCTCCAGCAGTATCTGATGCCTGCCTCAGCCCAACTACTGTCATAGCCAGCGCCCGAGCACATTCATCTGTCCATATAGCATCCTGAATTTCCAAGTCCAATGCTTCGAGCACAGGGAGTGAATCATTCAAAATCTTCTCGGCTATGGTCTGTAGTTGGAGTGGGTCATGGTCCTCCTGTTGAAGAATTTGGGTAGCATAATTGTAAGTATCAGAAACTATTCCATGTGATTTTCTGATGTCATGAGACCAGTGTCCTTGTGCAGGTAGTTCCAGGAATTGTAGAGGACGGCCTTCAAGTTCTGACATGATGCTATTTGCCCAAGAGAATTTCTGAGTCCGAGTCAATTTACTATGACATGTAAATGGTCAGTGGCATTTCAACCATGTGCCCATTTTCATGTTCCTGAAACTGTTAATCATAAAAGAAAGGGAGACCTGTGTGGGAACCTAAGCCACCCGCACATGGATGCCATGTTTCGTCGCATGGTGTCCATGTGGACGCCATGTTTTTTTCGTTTACCTCACTTAAACCTCGATTTGGAAATTTCGTGTGGTTCTGTCAAGCGGAGTTTCAATTTCCGAAAACCGTCGTCTGTTACTATATACCATCCGAATTTGGTCATATGTAGATTTCGCTTGATTTGGCAATCTCACGTGGTTTTTTTTTTCTGCACAGACTGCACCAGACACGACGTGACACAACACTGCTCTGTTATTCCAGCAGCTCCCAATATACCTGCCGTCACCTCTGATCACCTAGTATCACCTCTCACCATCATCTGTTTTCTGTTAAATCCTGCAGCCTCTCAGTGCCCTCAACACTCAACCAATGGCCATTTCCAGCACTTCCCCAGCACCTAACAATGGTTTGGACGCGTTTTTGGACGCATCACGTGACGCAGAGCTCCCTGTCACACCGGGTCACATCACCATGTGAGTTCTTTGGCATCTGTTATTTGTCTGATCACACAATTTACAGCAACTATTCTCAGTGCTTCCTCAGCACCTGATGCTGGCTCTGGTGCATTTTTGGCCACATCATGTGACACTCCGGGCCATGTCCCCAGGTGAGTTGTTCTCTCTCCATGTCTGTCTGATTGTGTATTTATGGTAGCTGCAAGGCAGGAGCCCAGACCTATTGTCGACTGGAATGCCAGGCTTCTGCAGGGCTTTGATGCAAGTTTTGCTGCCCACCTGCAGTGACATCATCGCCTGCCTGTCAACATGCTGGCCGCACCTCCCACCTCCACAACTCCTTCAGTACCCCCTCCTTCTGAGTTGTTGGCGCCTGCTGTGACTGACTGGTCTGCTGAACTCCATCGCCACTGGTCCGAGAGCCACATGATGCGTCTTGAACAGAGACGACTCAACGACCCATATGCTGAGGTCACCACTTGGCGAGAGAATCACAATGCCATGGATCAGAAAATCCATGACCTCCGACGATCTAACATGAAGTTGGCAAAGGACATCATGTGGTGGGAAGAGCAACATGAGCAAGACCTCAAGGATGGTGATAGGGATGTGGATACCTTCTGCTCTCAGTTGGAGGAGGCACTTAAGCATCAAAAGCATTGCAAGGTGGTGGATGCTTGGCGAAAGCACATCTTTCAGCAGATGAAGGGAAAAAGTTGGGTGGAGCGTCAGCATTTGAATGAGCTGTGCAAAGAGGGACCTCCACCTGGCTGGGAGCCTTCTGAATAGTTTTTTTGTGTTAAAGTTGTTCCTCTAATATGACTTGATTTCTGATTGGATGGGAGTGATGTATCAAATGGGTGATGTGACATCATCAGCAAAACACTAAATTTAGCACAGTTACTGTGGCGGCTTACAGCATATTACAGCATATTACAGCAGGTGCAGACTTCTGTAGCAATGTGTAGCAATCAACAACGGTATATATAAAATTTCTACAGTGTGACATAGCACCACACATCGCGCTACAGCGAGCGACTTGAGAAGTTGGTACCAGCTCTTGGTTGTGACACGTGACCTTCGAGTCTAAGTTTAAACTTGAAGGAAGAGCAACTTTTAAAGCTGGCATTTACAAACATTGATTCAAAGTATGTACAATACTAGTAGTAGATGGGACATGGAATAGGAACAGTATAGATCTGGCTACTAGTACTAGTATTAAGCAGGCTTCACAACTTGAAGCCCAAAGAATCGGACACCACATCATAATCGAGTGTTTGACTCGGAGTCACACTCGGAGATCCTGTGGATAAAAGTGTCAGTAGTAGAAGTGGTCGAACGAATTGAACAGAGTACAATTACCTGCCAGTGGTGGTGAGCGAGCTAAATCTACTTCCGGGCTGAGCGTATCACTATCAATGTGACTAGTAGATCTGCGACGGCGTTTTCGAGGTTTACTAGTAGCAAAGTCCTCCAACAATGTGATTCCACTTTTGCGGACCGAATGGTGAACATAACCAATGTCGATATCAGCATCCTCCAATTTCCTCTCAGCTTCTGTGGCCTCGAACTCGTAGAGTTTCCCAAGTGCAACATTCTGCTTGAGAACGGAGTCTGTGAGTGTCTTCTCTGCCAGGCAAACATCTCGCTGTGCTCGGGTCACATTCAAAACAAGCTGGGCCTTGAATTCCTTGCTAGCCTGGGTGTCATTGGAGTTAGTAGATTCCTGGGCAACATTATCATTTCAATCCTGAGCATGTATGGGTACCGTTGAACTTACATTATCGCTGTCTTCGCAGTCAGAGCCTGGCTCCGTTGTTATCGGGAATATAGGTGATGGGAGTTTTTTGTCCATGTTCAACCTACTAGTAGCAGAACGCACAACAATTGGCATGGTCAAGTGATGCAATAATGCAGGGGATCGGTTGCACAGAGCACCAATAGCCCTGGGAGTTCCAACGCGCTTCCAGTTACTAGTAGGGTGCGAGATGCTTTGCATAGTAGTAGTAGACGTATGTTGAGCCTGAGCCTGATAGATGGACAAGGACGGGGTGTGGTGAATAGTCAATGGGTACAATTGAATGGATGACGTGCTGTTCACGACTTGTCCATCTGTGCTCATGTTGGAGACCTTAGGGGGAGGTCCTGGTACCAGCGCAAGCATTCTGTGAATTGCTTCAAGTTGTGCTGGATGGGTCTGGGATTCATCATGATGCGAGTGTCTTCAATCGAGTGAAATCCCTCTAAGAGACGAGGCTGTCACAAGTTGGGCACTGGAGGACATTCAAGACTCTTTCAAGTTGTGTTGTTAACAAATTTTTGCGAGTCACGCCAACTCAGTGGTTAAACGTGATGTGACAAATTAGGCATACATAATAGTATGCAAATATCATGGTACATTCAGCGAGAAACAATCATAGTACTACACGTGTGGTATCTAGATGAGTAGTAGTATGTTTCATGTGGTCCTAGAAGTACAAGAACAAATGCAACATGGATGACAACAACGGGGAGCATGAGATCAACAAGATTGCGAATTCAAACTTGAAGAGCAGCACAACAGAACAAGCAAAGATGGAACTAAGTACTTGTACCGATCATGTAAATTGTCAGTGTTGGAGGAAACCAAGTCTAACGACAGACACTCACCTCAACAATTGACACGGCAAGAGCCTACTGACGACCCTTCCCCTTCCCCTTCCCATTTGCCCTCCGACTCGGAGTCTTCTTTGGTTTCGCCTTAGACTCTTCACAGCTTCCCTCAGGCTGGATCTTTGACTTCTTTGCTGAGCGCTCTGGCTGCACATCAAGCGATAACCCAGCACAGGACGAGACCATCGCATCGGATGAGGAAGTCATTGCACCAGATGAGGAAGTCATCGGAATTGACAAGAATGAAGTACTTGTCGGTTGGGTGCTGGAGTCTGAGGATTTAACCTCAACGTGCGTCGTCTTTCGCTTGTCGTATTTGTGGTTGCACCAATCCAAGTAGCGGCAGTAAGCTGTGAGGTATATCGCGGAAGAGATAGAGTTGAGAGCTGCCATCCAAACAGGCTCGAAAACGGGATGGGAATCACGCGCGCTTTGAATTGCAGCCTCCTCAAGCACCATACCCTCCATCAACAATATGATATACCTCTTCAAATTCTCAGCAGCGTCACTCAACATCCGTTCAACGTCATCCATCTGCAACGTAGGGTAAAGGGTCTGCAGGGGGCGAGTTGAGATCAGAAAGTAGTACTACTAATAAGATGAATATACATGCACCCCCTCTGCAAATGTAGCAGCATTCTTGTTGTTAAAATCAAAGCGACCGTCTGTGCCACGCTTATACACGATGTACCGGACCTTGGAGATATTGATCCAGATATGAGACTTGAGCTCCACCGGTCCAAACCTCAAGCTCTTCTTGATGCAGGGAGGGATGAACTCCTCATAATCCAATGCAGGAGCTGAGCGAAGTTGTTGGGCAGTGATGTTGTCTTCTTTAGGCTGTTGCCATTTGGCTCGCTCTTTGAAGGATATGATGAGAGCATAATTGATGTCTCGATGACCTTCACATGTGATGCTGAGCTTGCGCACCATGCAGTTCATATCCGAGGAAAGCCCGCATTCTCCAACCCATTTGGAAACCGGCTTTGCTACCGCCATCTCATCTGACTCCATATCCTCCGGTGGTTGTGCTGTGATGGTAAGGTGTAGGTCTGGAATGTTTGTGGAGTCCTTGTTTTGGATATGGTGATTGAGGTGCATAGTGATGTCAATCAGGAGTTTGTCATAAGGGATGGCTTCCGTGAACTTGTTGACAGCCTTCGCAAGGTGTGCAGCTGGTTGTTCGTGGATGGGAAGTGGGGGCATGATATGTAGATCTTGAGTATCCGCAAAGTAGACGAATCTGTAGTAAGAGATGGGATGTGGTCAGTGTATTATTACGACTCAATTACTACTCTGAGGTTCACTTTGCTCTGACTTTGAAATCTTGCTCTTCCGACGTAAATGCTACCACTGCTGCGTATTCTGCAGGCGTAATATTGGCAATGACCTCAGATCATGGTAAAGATTAATCTACGACAAGTAATAATCAGCCTACAATTGTATTGGCTTGAGGATGTTGAAGGGCTTCAAGGACGACTGCACAGTGGTCTTTGTGATGATGAATGGTTAGGAAGAAGATTGGTAGGTGATAAGCGATCTGAGAAATACTAACCTAAGCTTAAAGAATCTTGATTATCTGAGTCTGTAAATTGAATGTGGAGTCTTGTCTGTATTGCTGTCTTGAGGTCTTCAAGAACTTGCTTGTCATAAAGTTCTGTGTCTGTTGGAACATGATGGTGCAAGGAACATGGGGGTTTTTCGACTTGTTCTTGTTGTACTACACATGGAGGAGAAGGGATCAAGTTGTGTGATGGTGATTTTGGGGAGCCAAGACTTGGAACTCTTTGAGAACTTAGAATACATAACTGGAAGAGCCATGATTGTGCTGGTGACAGGCATTGAGAGAGAGGTATGATGACAACAACCAGTGGCCTGCCAATCAGGGCCTGCCCCACTGACATTTGGATTTAGTCAGCTGAAAGCCATGTGCCGAGGTAGCGCTGTACATCGCTACACAGCGGATCCTTGCGGGATAGTGTACATTTCATGATGCTACAGTAACATATAGTGATATATAGTGCCATACACCGAGTAAATAGAGCTCTTGAACCATTGATATATTACTTTAACACAATTGAAAAAACTAGTACTAGTACTACTACGGCTTGGAGTTTGAGATAGCATAGTAAGAAGTCCTTGTCAATGTATTTGTTCAAGAAGAACGTCTGAGCAAAATGAGCACTATTTTCCGCTGTTAGACGTGAATTGGCAACACGGCCAAAGCGGGGGATAATGTGAGCCAGAGAACGAAGTTGATCTAGTGGGAGGATGTCACCAAAAGGAGTCCCTGCTGATCGCATTGCACGCTTTAAAACATGCATTTGCGTTGTGTGTTCTAGTAATTTGCCATGTCCGCTGAGGCACGACATCCAACCGTTGAACATACGTAAGGAAATGCGCAGCCCAAGAGGCACTACTACTAGTTCCCCGTGGAGGAAGTGGTTGCATGATAAGGTGCACCTCAACAACAGCATGGCCTGCAAGTTGCTCAGACGTCAATTTGGACATAATATACAAATGAACATTTGAAAAACGTACCTTTAAGCCCACTAGTGGGCCATTGTTCACGTCTGGTGTCATCAACGGTGAAAATAGCAGCATCGTAGTGGCCATGCTTCCAAGTTGCGCTCAGGGGAGATGCATTGACCGTGAGAGCAGGAGGAATGATCGACAGGGTATGGTACGATGCCTGCTGCACACACACTTTGAACCAGACCATAAGGTCGTCAAAGTGGAAGAGGTGCATCGGATGGTGCTCAGCATTGTCCCCCCAGCAAGTGGAATTTCTGAGCCGTAGTACCCTCTCATTGAATATAGTCAGCGAGTGCTCCCCGCAAATCGGGGTAGAGATAGTTATTCAGCAATGACATCGACTGGTATGCGTTGTATGGAAGGATCAAAATTGAGGTGAATTGCTGTTGCACCGACCACGAATGTGTGGAGAGGTCTGGCTGCTTGGAATGTCCAAAGAAGACTTGCTCTGCCTTTCTGAAAAAAATTGGTCACAACATGCTTCGGCCCCCAGAGATCATCCGAAACTGTCCTGCAAATGAGATCATCAATATATGCCAGTGGACCTTCATCCAAGTCATGAAGGTTCAGAATCATCGTCCATCATTTCGAGATGAAGAAGCGGAGGCTTCAAGTTGTGACTCTGACTCTGACCGAGTGATTATCAATGTCATGATCTGAAAGTTTTCAAACACTTTTCTTGGCAATCAAGAAACCGGCATATTTGAGCATCATAATCGATGTTGTTGGTGGAATCTGCAGGATCCTTGATAAGGTGAGTGTGAGCATGCTCGGTGGTGTTGGCAGACCACCTTGCAAGAGAGAACCAACTTGACGTATACTGGGCACGACACTCTGCCATCAAACTCCAGTTTAGGTATATGCCAGTTGTGTGAGGACCTGTTTGCTCTTGGCACCTAGTCGACGCGCGCCGCAAGCGATTATACTCTTGCTTGTGTTCATGGAATTCCGCGAGGGCGCCAAGAATCTTTTGACAATGGTCCTTGATTGATCGTTGTCGCCTGTGATAAGTAGCAAAAATCCATCAGCCACGTGAATAGCTATGACGACGCCAATGGGGGGGCTGCAATCTGCAATTAGAGCAACAATACAACATTACATGTCATGCTGGGCTCTTCCAGTGACTTGTTTAAGCTTTGGAAAATACCCCGCCATGAAGCGTCGGAATGTTGTGAGTGGTTGTAAACAGAGAAGCGAAAGTCTAGTTCCTGCTCACCAACAGCTGCAAGACACCACTTAACATGTGATCATAGCACTCACGGTGCCAGTGATGCAGGGATTCTGGAGTCAAAAACAGATATGGATCTGCAAGTGGCCAATGCGCCAGAATGGCTGGGCCACACCGCTCAGGCAGAAGGCGGCACATGCATTGAAGTAGCCTTCAACATCAAGGGATCACAATTGATGCTTGAAAGCTGGCTGAGAGTCGTTTAGCTGTTCGAGGGGGGTGTTGGAAGGCATCTCCGAAATTTTCGTACATAGCCATAGTTACCGGTGAGGGTCTTTCCTCGAACACATGCGAGCATGCATGCCTCAGGTGTATCAACAATCGAGGCAAGGTTAGGCTAAGGGGTAAACAATATCTGAGGTTCCCAAGTGGGTCTGACATCCGCCCAATGTGTGCAGCTTGCTTGAGCGCTCCAGCACAATATCTAGACATTGGTGGACCAAGTGGGCTTCGAGAACACTCTGCATCCGCTTCACCGGATGCAAAAATTCAGCAATTGGAAGCAGCGCTGTCAGGAGGAAAGCATGTGAGGATGCCTTATTTC